TCGGTTGTCACCCTCTCACCCTCGGCCTCAGCCACCCTCGTTTCCTGCCCACGCGACAACAATACCTTCTGGACTGACCATGCCACGAATAATGTGTACCAACTTCAATGCGGTATTGATCACTATGATCAGGCGGCCAACTGGAACTTCAACGCAGGCATGAGGCACAGTTGGGAAGAGTGCGCAAAGTGGTGTGCAGAGTATGCTCAGTGTCTGGGCTTCAGCTACATTGCAGGCATTGCGTTGAAGCCGAATTGTTGGTTGAAAAACAGTCTGAGGGGACAGACGATCAACGAGAACAGTTGGGCGGGCATGCTGGTTACTGGTGGCAAAAGTGTCGCCACGAATACTGTTGCCGGTCTCGTGAAGGAGACAACTACGGTTCTAGCTGTTGCCGTTGATACAACTACCATGTTTGTCGAGGGAACTGCAGTCACAACTGCTGTCACTACAGTTGTCACGACGGAGTTGGTGAAGCCAGTTGCACCTGCTACTATACTGAGCGTTTCACAAGCAAGCTCGACACTTCCGAATCCCACCGCCATCGCCGTGAGCTGCAATAACGAGACTTGGTGGTCAGACGAGAAAGCTTCCTGGCGTGCCATTGACTACTTCTGCAAGGGTGGACACGACGGGACCTTCGGCAGCTATGCTGTTGACAAGATGTTGCACGGGGAGAACTCCATTGCTGCCGCCTACTGGCCCTACAACGGCACCACAGTCATCACCAGCGTCGTTGCCAAGGCAGGTTGCACCGTGAGACTTGACAAGAATCTGTGCCTGCAGAGGTTCAGGGCGCCCATGTATGGCTGTGACGCGGATGAGAAGCACCAGAAACGCGGTGGATCGGTTTCTGACGGCTGCTCCGACTGGACTATCCATATGCAGTCGTGGCCGAGTGTTGGAATCTGCCAGGATCAGTATGATCAGGATATGGGAGGTGCGGGTCTGTGCGCGACTTGGAGCACTGGTTACTCGGAAACTGCCGTTGGTGACGGTTTGAAGATTGATTGGTATCCTCGTGGCTAGAAACGCAAGGGCTGCTGATGACACATGAGTGCTTCGTGGCGGCATCATTACCTCTACTTATCGACCATGATCTCTGTTTGACTGCACAGTTGACTCACATCCTAGCGATGTGACTCTTCACGGCGCAGAGCAAATCCAATATTAGGTCGCGATACGTGAAGATTGGGACTCATAACAGGAGTCGCCCTAATGTGGTGGAAAATGTTTGGCGATGTGGCTTTTGGTCATCGTATACCTACCTACACTTTACAGACATCGAAGTGAGCAATGAAAGAGTCGCATATCTGAAGTTGGGAAGTTCCTGTCTTTGCTGTCAAGGTGCAAATTGCGGTTTCCTGATTCTGTTCATTGCCGGGTCTCTAGTCGTTCGCTAGGTAGGTGCGCGGGTAGGCCAAAAACACCTCTCTGCTGATTGAACAAGTTTCGTAGGTATCCCTGGAATACCCCCTTCCATTCTCGCTCTTTGATTTGCGTCGCCAATGCCTGCCTTGCTTCCCGTCCTGCTGTTGGGCACTATTCACTAAGGCAAGAAAGTTCAGCCAAGGAGCGAGCGCAAAGACAGAAGTCGGCTCACAAAGCGTGCGTCGCCTCACGCAAATGGTTCGTATATCGATGTCCCGAGTAACTTGCCTCTCTCCTTTGATCTTGATAACCCGTCAAGCTGATATTTTCCACTTTGACTCCCAAGTTGGATCATTTCCACCTTTCGCTCCCGTTCTAACCTCGGCAAAAGGGAGCATTCGCACATTGTTTTCGTTTCCATCGAACGTCAACAGCAACAGAACCATCGACTGCCTATCATAGATTTCCTCAATATGAATTCTCCGCCCTCCATCGCCGCCAATGTCCCATCCACACAACAAAAGCAACTCATCTCTCGTCTTCTGGCGGTTAAGCCTTGCCCCAACGGCCCTCCTTACACATCCAGTCTTCAGATTTCGCGCGATGATCCGTACCCCGTCCCGGGCCCTAACGATGTTTGCATCCGTATCCGCGCCGTCGGTCTGAACCATATCGACTGGAAGAACTTGGAGCATGAAACCATGGTCAAGAAATGGCCAGAAGTCCTGGGATTTGAAATTGCGGGTGTTGTTGAGTTGGTGGGAATGGATGTACAGGAGAATGAGCTAAGGGTTGGTCAGGCGGTGTTTGGGCTGAGCGGGCCGGTCGGCATGAGGAGAGGACCCCCTGAGAAGGAGGGACCTGAGGAACATGGACCTGGTGAGAAAGGTGATGATGGGATATGTGGTGCAGGCGAAATGGAGGCGAGGAAAAGCCTTGTTAAAGTGCTGGTGGAAGAGGTCCCGAAGGCAGACAGCAAACTGGAGAAGAAAGGGTTATGGCTTGGAAGATCTGGTGGCTTCCAGGATGTGGCGTGTGTGCACAAGAGTTGGGCTACCAGGAAGCCGGCAAGTTGGCCTTTTCAGTGGTCAGCTGGTGTCCCGTGAGTTCATGTTTCTTCCCGCTTCTATTGATGTGCCAACAACAAAGTGCTAATGAGATGCAGACTTGCTTACATGACTGCTTGCTCGGCGATTGTCTGCGGGCTGGGTATTCGGCTGCCTTTCCTGGCGAACAGCGAGCCTGCCCGCGAAGGCAGCGCATCGCTCTTGAATCTTGAGTCTCCGACAATCGATACGACTTCACCCAAGAATCCCAGCGCGGATGAACTGAAGGACCACCCTGTAAACGATTCCGGCGTCAAATCCGTTCTTGTCCTCGGCGGTTCCTCAGGAGTTGGCAGTTCTGCCATTCAGCTCCTGCGCATGGCGCTAGGCCCCAAGGCTGTCATCATCGCTGCCACCAACAGCAAGAAGTACTACCGTGAACTCCGTGAGCGCGGAGCCACTGCCCATTTACGTGGCGAGTTCGAAGGTCTTATTGAGAAGGTCCATTGCCTCACTGAAGGAAAGGGAGTGGATGCCATCCTCGATTGCGTTTCGGGGGCTGCTTGCCTTGATGAAGGTCCCTTTACACCATCTGGTCCCCCTATCCCATCGTCGAGTGACACAGACGAGACCACCATCACGAATGACCTGGACTCAAATACCACTGTCAAGGATGAGAAAACCTTGAAGGCCATGCCATTCTGGGGCGTCTTTCGCAAAGATGGACCCAAGCTGTACGCCGAAGTGGCTACAGGTCGAAAAGTCGCTGTACCTACTGACGTCGGTATCAAGGCGACGCTGATCTTCTCAAGAATGATTTTGGATCAACCCGATGGTGAGCGCGCACTTCAAGAGTTACCGGCGCTGATTGAATCAGGAAAGTTCGTATTTCCGCACCCGGGAGGAGTCAAAGTTGTAGGCAAGGGGCTGGAGAGCGTCGCGCCGTGGTTGGCGGAATTGAGAGAGAGCAGCGGTGGGATGAAATTTATTGTTGAGTTGTAATTGGTGAAATAGTCACCTTCGGGTCCTTGTGGAAAGTGGTAGGGGAGTGGTTTTGTTCATTGTGTTGCATGCTTCCCTTCGTTTGGAGTTTTGTTGGATTCGGGGTTTCCCAGGACTGGACATGTTTGCGTGCTTCATAGTAGTTTGTTCCCCGTCCTTATCGTATATGATTATGACTTGGAGTCAGACTTACATTCTTTCCGCCGATGGTTCAGGGGCTTTGAAGCATTTTTGTACAGTGTTTGAATGCAATTTTGAATCCTGCTTGCTTGACATACCAAAGTGATGGTGGTGGTTTTGCCATGAAGCATGGTCAACGTATGAGCTGTGGCGCTCAGGGGGTGGCTGGTGCAGTGTGGCGCACTCTCCAACACGTCAATTAGACGCTCATTCTTCTAGCTGGTACGTTTTGTAACCATGGGTCGCGAATTGTAGATCTTCATGACAGAATACCTATTCGTGTTTCACAACATATCTTTGAGTTCTTATATGACCATTCGGCCTTCATCTCATGCTCTGACACGATTTCTGTCCTAGGCACAGCATGATTGAACATATTGCCTCTTCCGATGTTCCGATATACAATGGGCAGGGGCAATTTGGACAACTGCCATGCAACTTCGAATCATACATGACTGCAGGAGGAATAAAAACCTAAATACCTTCGGTTGCAGTGACACCTCAAGCTGGCTCCGCTTTTTTCTTCACGAGAGTGTCAACTTGAAGACGGGAATGTTTGACTCCTGCCGGCACGGCCGAGCCCGACTCATCAAGAACCGGGAGATTAAAGCCTTTTACAAACCCTCGCGGTTGGACTGGCGCACCATTAACACCTCCTGTGCAACTTCCCCGTGAACAGCGCGCCACAGCAAACCGGAGAGCACATACTCCCAATTAGCACATACTCCCAGTTAGCACCTACAACCCGACGCCATCATTGAATCGAACGAGTTCGACTGTCTGTTTCATTCAAGCTTTGACGCGAACCACAAGACGGTTGGGCGGACGATACCAACATTTGTATGGGAGGAGCCAGAGGTCCTTAATGGATGGCCGACGTGAACCTTCAGGTTCAGGCATTGGGGGGCGATCATGGAAGATTAAAGTACCTTACGTGCGAACCAACAAGTGAGTAAACCAAGTGAGTCTGGGAGGCTAAGGGATGAAGGAATTGAATGCTGATCTTGCGACAAAACTGAAATGGAGTGAAGTGACGCCCCAGGCGCATGGAGAACTGATCGATACCTCTACCTAACTCTATCAAGAAGATCGCGGTTGCCGTTGTGAATGACAAGTTAGGTACAGTACCTAGCAAAAGGTGGTGTTCTTTGACCCTCGGATCAGATTCAGGCGGATGGAGAAAAAAAGGTTGAGGCTTAAGGTTCTTACAGTCCAGCTCCAGTGAATGAATCACGCAGAGATGCAGTTTACCTCTAGTGGAGGATCAATTGTGCTTGCGGTCGTCTCTTAATGGCCTTCACCATCCGCGTCTTACCATTCACAACCAGGAAGGTGATTCACGGGAATTTGGTCTCTTTTGCACTGACTTAATTATTTCCCGTGTGAAAGCTCTTAAAGTTTCAATATTTGGCAGTGGCACCGCTGCATCATAAAACCCTCCATCTGTGAATGCTTTCTCCTTGTCACAACAAACGTCTGAAATTCGACAATCCTCATTCTACCTATCTCTAGAGGTAGCAAGGCAAATGAAAGTGCGAAATCACCCAACTACTAGACGGCCAGATGATACCTACCTCTAGGTACCTAACGTTCTCGCCATCACAGAGCGTCGGTATGTGCTACAATTACACTGAATACAAGTACTGCGCCCAAGGTCCCCGCTGCCGCGGGGGCTACGGCTGGGTCAACAGTCAGGGCCAATCCTACGCAAAGTCCTACGCACAGTTCGTGCGCATTCGTCGTTGCTCCAACTTTGAGCGCGGCTATGACTGCCGCCAAAGAAGGTCTTTGGGACCTGGCTCCGAAACCAAGACCAGTGAGGAGACTTGCCTTATTTGCCGACTCTGGTAAAGCTCAAAGCCGCCTGCACCACTCACTGGCCTACGTAGGCTAGAATTCCTCGTTTTTACCTCTACCAAGAAAAACATCTAAAGGGGAATTGAGGACTAAAAGCGGTGAACGAATTCGACCTGAAACGGCACTTGAGTGATGGGAGGGGTTTGAAATGATTGCTGAAATCTTCCAATGTACCTCTACGGAAGGAATCAGCGGACGGAAGGAAAGATGAGGGTCAAATTCACAGTTGGGTGTGGAAGGCAGTCAATAGGGCTGTGTTTGTACTCGTAAGATTTCCGTACCTCTACAGCGCCTGGATTCACACAATCCAGTTGGTATCAAAGAGCTCAAGTTTAAAGGCTTCATCGCGCACATCTCTGTGTAAACACTCGCTGGCGCTAGCCCGGTGAAAGGGCCGCTGAAGGGCCGAAATTGTTTGATCCATAGCACCTGCCCCTGGTGGGACACCCTCAACTCTTTTGGAGCTCACGCCCATTTACAACGTAAAAATACTATCACATGAGCTCCCACATGAAATGAATGGCAATAGGCTTTATCTCTTTTCCCAAGTACTGGATACCAAGTCGTGGTGAAGTGGGATATCCGTTTGCGGGCGAATCAAGGGCCCGGAATCCAGTGAACAGTCCTGCTCTTCGAAGTAGAGCAATTCTTTTTGTTTTATCACCATTCACTATGATAAAAGAAAGAAAAACAAACCCCGCTATGGAGGTTTTTACCGAATGTTTTGGCAAGGTTCTGCCGCCAAGATTACAACCTGAGCATCCATACAAGAGAATCATAGGTACCTCTAGGTACCTCTAGGTATCTGTAAATACATACTTTGCAACATCGCCGTTCGATGCAGGTGGTAAATGGAATCAAAAAGCGTCCGTTCACTTCCGTTGACAAGCATTCGGGATCAACTTGATGATGATTGAAGATTAAGGTCCTTAGATGTATTCACTTGCAATGACCTTCAATTCCTCCCTTCCATGGGCCCTTCACGTAGACCACTATTCACCTTGGGGAATAGCCGCTCAAAGATTTACTGTGATGAGTAAAAAAATCTAATAGTCGTAGGTAAGTATATAACGCCTCCAACTTATGCCCTGATAGAAGCTTTCCTTCTACCACCCAAACCATTTAAACCAAAGCAGAAAGCCCAAACTAGAAGACTTAAAACACCGCAGGCAAGCACACAGGCAAGGATCAAGACACTTACAAACACGAAGTCTACACACAGAGCGTACAGGTAACTAACAACCCGAGAAAGCAGAAAAATCCAAGATGTGTCAAATCTGGTACAAATTCCACTTTTGCTCTCAAGGAGCAAGCTGCGTCGCCGATAACGGCTGGGTCAACCGTGCTGGAGAGACATACGTGAGGCCATACGCTCGGGAGATCATGCTCAGGCGTGAATGCTCAGGGTTGAGGTACCGCGGTTGCTCCGGCCAGGAGTACGTCGGTGGAGACACCAATGAGAGTGACAACATGTGTCCTCAGTGCGAGAGCGCTTCTAGGAGCCACGGAAGAAGAAGAAGACGCTAGAAGTGCAGCGGAGGACCATGGGTGAGAAAAGTACCCCGGACGGAAAGTCAGAAGAAGGTTGGAAAAAGGAAGACCAGTGGGAAGACTGGAATGGAAAAGATATAGGGGAAATCCGGTGGAAGAACACTGAGGGAAGAAAATCATGAAAACAGGCTCGCAGAACGAGAGGCACGCTCGTAATTTTTTGAGAAGTGCAAATTGATAAGCTGAGCTTTCGCTCTCCTCCGAAGCTCATGAAATCAAGTGCCACTCATAATCAAACCAAGCTCATTGAAATCTCAAAACATAGGTACCTAGTTGAGGTAGCTCTAGTCCCATAGAGGTACCTCTACACTAGAGGTATATGTACCTACTATATGTGCTTATCATTTGATTGACAACTTCCTCACATGAGCAGACCTGAGTCTACTTGCTGCTCTCGATGCTATTACCTACATCTACCATCGATGGTAACCCTCATTGCTGAAATCATTCTCTTTTCATGATTGATCGCCCTTGGTTGTGAATTATAGGTACCTGCACCATAATATGGAGGCAGAATTTCTCAGTGAAAGGCTCTTGGATTTCGTCCTGAGATTGCTTTGGGTGTCAAACTGCTCCATCATTCAATTTCAACTCTGCCTTCCAGTCCGGCCCGCATGGATCTGGTATCTTGAAGATGGATTCATGGTAAATCATATTTGAGCTAAGCCAAGTGAAAGCGAACAATGATCGGGGTTCTCTTAGCTGGCGGTGATCAACGATCAAACACCTCAGCTTCCATCCGCCGGGCTCCGAGCATCATTGAACCTGTCTTCGTGGTCTGCCGGGCCATCTCCACGCTGTAATGCGGTTGTGAAGCCATCAGAGTGCTGTAGAAGCACTGTGATGAACGCTATAATCCCAAAGTTGAGCTAGCATGAACTTCACCCTATCCCCAGTGCCTGCATTAGTCCAACGCAACAAGGATCATTTACCATTCCATGAGATGCTTCATCACCACAACCACCGACTGGTCGATTTCACGGTCCACAATGAAAAGTCGACGTCCTAGACTACCTACGTATATAAAGCCCTCAATTCTCGCCAGAACAACCCAGATTTTGCTTCCTTACCCCGCCCCAGAAGGCAACAACACAAGCAAGCGAACGCAAGATTCTCAAGCCAGAAAGACATCTGTAATCGTCACCCTACACGTTCTTCGCCGAAACAACCACTCCTTCAACCACAAAGCCAGGATGTGCCGCGTCGGTTACACATACAAGTACTGCCTCAACGGCGAAAACTGCCATTCTGACTGCGGCTGGCAAGGCCGCAATGGCGGACTTTACCCCAGAGGTGGGTATTTTGTAGCCACAGAGCGCCTCGCCAAGTGCGGACCCACCAACCGCCCTCCCTGTATCCGCTCTAGATGGCGTCATGATACGTACCTCGATGGGAGGACTAGCGACGAGTATTGCCCGGCGTGTCAAAGGGTGGGAGAGACGAGCGGAGATAGGTGGTACTACCACAGGTAGGAGAAGGTCTTGGGAAGGGTGAGCAGATGGGAAAGGATGGGAAGGGATTAATACCAAGAAGGAACAACACCAAGAAGGAACGACAAGGAGGGATAGAAACAACAAGGGGTAACCGAAGAGGGATCTGAAGGCGGAAACAAAGGGCAAAACGTTGGAGGGTGCTTGCTGTAAATTAGGAAGTGGATGAGGTGAATATAGGGGAGGATGGCGCAGTCGCAGCCCAAACCGATTCAGCCCATTGATGCCACTTGTGAACGCACCATTCCTATAACTGTAAAACTTGACTTGATATGGCTTTCGAGACTTGACACAGCTTGACATAATAATTGTCTTGTAACAGGCCTGTAAGCTACCCCAAACCAGCATCGCAGCTTACCTCTAAGCATACATACCTATCAAAAGCACGTTGATGCTTGAACATGAGTGTCAAGTCTCGACGACTCTCATTCAGGATATGTACAACTTCAGACCCAGGCATCAATAGACCAAGACCCAAACCCAGATAACTTATGTACAGCGAAATATGTTTGTTGCGAAGCGATGTACTTCGACATCCCGTTTGTTGCTCGTTCGTCAGAACCTGCCAAGGGATCCCCATCGTGTCGGTAATTGAGCGCGGTGTTTAGACACACTGGTAGTAATAAGGAGGCGAGACAGCGCTGCAGGTGGATCCGGACTAGATAAAGTCACGTTAGCAAGCCAACCCTCAACTCGATCATTAAACAGGAGGACACTCACAGCGCAGGATGTGCACCCGGTATAGCCGGTTCCACCACACTGCTGATACTTTGCAACGCTGCAGCCACCGCTCCCACCACCGCCTCCGCCACCAGCAGCCGCCGACGTGCTTGCAACAGGGACGGCAGAAGCAGTTCCAGTTGGGCCGGAGCCAACCTTGCAAGTAGACTCGCAGCCCACGCAGCCGCTTCCGGCCTTCTTGGAGCTTCCGCCCGAGTACACAGCCGGTCCGGGGGCGACGTAGGTGCTCATGGCACTGTGGATGTCAACCAGGATCCCAGGGTCGGAGCTCTTGTAGGCACCAGGAAAGCTGACAGTCGCCGGGGTAGCGGAGCCACCGCCGGTAACGGATATCTGGTAGCAGGTCATGTACAATTGGGCACCTCCCGCGCTTGCGGCGGTATGGAGCGCGATAACCTCGGCACGGAGGAGATAGTCACCCGCGGGGATGTCCGAGGGGATCTTGACCTGCATCTTGCCGCAGCACGAGTTGAGGTCTTTGACGCCCCAGAAATCATCGTCGCCCGAGGAGCTGGAGGGCTTCTTGGCCCAGGTGTCCTCAAAGATCTTGAACCAGCCGGAGGAACCGTCGGCGGAGGCGGCGTCGGAGACCTTGGACATGTACACGAGGACGGGACCGTAGTGAGCGCCACCGATGGCTTCGGAGGAACAGGAGCGGTCGTTTGCTTGCTGTTTATAGGTTAGCATTGGTACGGGGAGGTATGACTGAGGCGAACATGAACAGGCGGGGTGGAAAGTGGTGGGGCGGAGGGAAGAGGAGGAGGAGAGAGGGAGGGAAAAGCGGGTAGCTCTTGAGAACCAGCTCCGCATGAAAGACCCTCAGGGGCGAAGCCCGCGGTTGACGAGAGCAGGAGACTGGCAGCATACCTGGTGCATCTCAACAGTGACCGTGCTTCCCGCCTTGACAGGGCACTTCTTCGCAACAGGCGAAGTTCCCGCGTTACACCTCATGGCATTGCTAGTCACATCGGTGACGGGGGAGTTGGAAGGAGGGACGCGAGCGCATTGCGAGCCATAATCGGCACCGTCGACCCAAAGGGCTTGGAAGGTGGCGTGGGCGGCGGCTTGTTGGGAGAGTAGGCCGGCGATGAGGCCGGTGAGGAGAGTGGACCGCATGTTGAGCTGGTGCGTGAGTGAGACGTAGAGGATGTCGTGAGCGATCTGGAAGGAGAGAGAGAGAACGTTCTATGGGTGTGGTTGAGCTTTTTATCCTGTCTGTGACAGTTGGGACTTGATCCAAGGACCGCATCGGCGATACGGCACAGCCAGTCCCCTAAATTGGGTTCCAACCCCGGAGCATGAATCCAACTGCCATCCCCATTAAGTGCTGGTCCTGTCATTCCCATGATCTTGCTCCGGGAATCCATCCCCGGCCACTTCGGAGCGGCAAGCAGGGGGGGCAGAGTGACGCCTGAAGTCTGTTGTAGGTGCCATAACCGCACACGAAAAGGGGCGCAAGGAGGCTTGATCGGGAACGCGGTGCGGCGCTGTTTCAGTCTCTGCTGACGAGGATCGGTAGACTGAATGAACATAACTGGGCTAGAATGGAGTGGTTAATCTACTTGGCATCGCAGATTCGGCAAGACGGAGTGACAGTGCCGTGGGGGAATGTGTCTGTGGATGGTAAGCCACGGTCCCGGAAACCGGGAAACGGCGGATGGTGCGCCGTTGACAATTTGGGAGTAGTCGATGGGCGGCTGCCAAGGATCGAGGGGCGGCATTTAACCGAGAGTTGTGGTTACTCAGACGGCGACGGTAGAAGATGTCAGACATGAGAATCTGAGATGTCAAACTAGGTCAACAAAATCCATTGACTAGTCAAAACTCCTGATAAAAAGGACTTGTAGAACGTATGGATAGAGGTCGACGTCGAAAAAAGAGTTGTCGTTGCGGTCGAGTGTTGAGTTCCGGGGTACGCTTCGATACCACCTCGCCGCCCCCTGACTAACCCTCCTGTTCCGAACGTTTTGTCAACAGAACTGGAAACGGAAACAGGATTTCACTTGCCTGAAACCCTACCCGCAGCTTGCTAGCGGGATTGCAAGGCTTGGGATCCGACATTTTCAGTACAACCGGAAGCATGGAGGAATCGATGACCGGATGCGTTTAGCGCTGTGCTTATAAAAGGCAAGAAAGCCTGCGCGAAGACTGCAACTCCGGTACAAGCAGCCGGATCACAGGGCACGAGACCTTGTAGCAAAAAGGGGGGTTCACACAGCAGAATCTCTGTCCCTGCGCACACTGGACGAAGGGCTGCGATGGAAAAAGAAAAAAAAAAATGTATACAAAAGTCTATAACCATAAACTATCCGCTGTGCCTCAAGTGCCAAGAGCTTCATGGGTCTCCCGATACCACCGAACACCGGACACCGGTCCAATGATGCTGTGGATAGACAAAGCGGCCAGACGAAGAAAGGACCAGCCTCGAGCAGAAGAGAAGCATTGGAAGAACAGATACTCCGAAAGACAAGAACGTGGAAGAAACGAGCCACAAGCATACCTATCCCACTTCTACTACCGCGACTCGGTTGAAATCAATCGTCCCACTCCTCATCAAGCTGATCAATCAACCGATTCTCGTCGTCATTGTTACCGTATCGGCCACGAGACGACGTGTTCAACGACCGGTACCCGCGGCGAAGGGGCAAGAAGCGAGCGCAGGACGAAGTGAGGATGACAAAGATGTCCTGCGCAATCGATAGTTAGCATGACGGCTCCGTAGAAAGTATCAACCAAAGCCGGCTTCTGCTCCCTCACCAGTTCACGCCGTCGCATTTTATCATTCATACTACACCTTGCTCATCTCTTTGCGATCCCGCACCCGCACGAAGGAACCGAGCCAAGAGGAAACAGCACGTCCTACCTTGAGAAAGCTCCAGATGCCGGCCCATAGGGTATAGTTGGGCAACTGCCTCCACCCTCTTTGCTTCACGACGGTGCGTTGGTAGAAAATACCACCAATGACGTACACCGCCAATGCAATGAAGAAGATGATGGCAAAGACTCCTCCGGGACCCACGGACCCCGGTTTATGTGGCTCGGCTCCGGCACAGGCGTGTTGCGAGCGGACCTCGAAAAAGTAGGAGCATTCGTCGGGGTCGGTGCCAACGAAGGAGACGGCGGTGGAAGTGTCGGGGGAGCGGTCGCAGAGGAAGGAGATGGTTGCGGACTTGCGGCGGATTTTCTTTTTGGATGCGTTGCTGTGTTTCCGCTTGTCGGAGTCGGAGTCGGTCTGGTCGTCATCACGATCTTCGTCTTGGTCGTCCGAGTATTTGCTGTACGCAGCGCCTTGGTGGACACCGGTGCTTCGTTTCCGTTTGTCGTCCTGGTCGTCATCTGGTGGTCCACACGGCGACCCTCCTGTATACTGCAACACCAGCTTCCTTCCTCTCGGCTTCAATGCTCCCGACTCCTGCCCTAGGCTGTATACCTTTCCACCCTTTTCATACCAGGCACCGACCTTGGTCCATGCCTCGCTCGTCAATCCCACGACATCCTCGACGCCCTTCACGACAGGGGCGCATATGTTGAGCGTGATGTTGTATCCGTAATCGTAACCGCGGGCTTGGTAGTCTTGGGTGTGCGTACCCCGGGCGAGCTTGACGCCCTTTTCGGGAACAACGGCGATGTCGGGGCGGAGGTCGTAGAAGGCACCGTTGGTGGAGGTGGCGACGCAGGGTGTTACGGTGGAGGTTGTGGTGGCTGTTGTTGATGGGGAGGGCGACGCGGAGGAGGATTCGTCATTGGAGGCGTGGGCAGCACCGGTCAGGGCGCAGAAGGCGACTAGGCTCGAGAGGAGCCGGTTGGGACTTGGGGGATGCATTTTGGTGGATTGGGAGCGGGACTGGTGATGGAACAGAGTGGGAGAGATGGAACTGAAATGGGCAAGGCGCTCGGTGGCGCTCGCTCGTGGTATGGTGGTGGTGGTGGTGATGATGATTGTGACTCGTGGCAGCGGCGTCAGGAGGGGTTATTGCATGCACTCAGTGGTAGTGTACAACTTTGGATCGTCCAAGGATTGCCGTGGGTAGGTCTGGATTTGGCTGCTGATGGAGTCGCGGGGTTGAGGTTGTAGATCAATTCGTGGTAAGAAATGGTTGTTTTTTTGTCATACAGTAGTGGGAATTGTTAGGTGATGGCTGAACAAAGAGTGCCTGGTTGTCGTCACTGGAACAAAACTGAATCGAGCAAAGTAACCAAAGGCTGCCCTGTCTTTGAGTGGCCAGCAAGATCCAAGGTCTCTCATGATTGGCCCATCCCTTTGGACCGGGAAGATCAGGGGTACCTCCACACTCAAGATGGAATTCGCCAAGGTACCTACATTGCTGCGCGAAGAGGTAGGAGAAATTGGACATGAGGAGCAAGCAAGATAGCGGCTCAAATCTTGAAATCGTATCATTGCTCACCTCTCGGATATCCAGCAGCCCGAATCAGGGTCTCCAGTTGCGAAGGAGACAGCAATACGCGGATACGGTCATCTGGAATCAAATGAAGTATCGACTTGAGGACATCGAGTGAGCAGGAGTACGTTGAGCATAAACAGTAGTACTTGGACGCCAAGGGAAGAAGTTGCCAAGACTGGAGATCCCAGCCGGAAAGCAGAGATCCGTCTGGCACGATTGGCTCCACTTTCCTGGCCGGCAACCTATTGAAGCAGTCAATTGGCCCAACGAAGCTTCGTCCGAACCGGGGACCGTCACTGTCTGGTTGGCTGCCAGCTGAGTTGTCCCACGACCAACATCGGGGGGAGCTGAACCTTTTAAAAGGCAGCTTGATCCTCTCCCCGCTTTCCGTGTTGTCGTCTACAGCATCACAGCCATCATCACCATGGCCGCCGGGAAACAAAACCAAGCTGCCGCAAAGAAGGGGGTTGCGCCGCGCCAGCAGCACTACGAGTTTGGCGGCCCGTAAGTCACCCAAAACAGAACCCCTGACTCCCGTCCATCTCGTCCGTGTCCAGGCCAGCTAACAAGCCTGACAATCAAACAGCATCGGCGCCTTTGGCATCACCTTTGGCCTCCCCATTCTCGTCCACGTCTTCAACCTTTTCTGCAACGACATCTCGGGCTGCCCCGCGCCCTCGCTCCTCCACCCCAAGTCTCTCGACCTCGCCCAGCTCAAGCGCGAAACCGGCTGGCCTGACAATGGCGTCTTCGGCCTCTTCTCGTGGTCCGCCACGCTGTGGACTTTGGCTTACTACGCCCTCTCGCTCGTTCAATACCGCTTTCTCCCCGGCCACCACGTCGAGGGAACCGAGCTGAGCACCGGCGGCCGGCTCAAGTACAAGCTGAACGCTTTCAACTCGGCCATGTGCACCTTGGCCATCCTGGCTGCCGGCACTATCGCCCAGGGCGCCGAGTTTCCCGTTTGGACTTTCATTTCCGACAACTTTGCCCAGATCATCAGCGCCAATATTCTCTTCGCTTTCGCCCTCGCCATCTTCGTCTACGTCCGCAGCTTTGACGTGAAGCCGGGTAACAAGGACATGCGCCAGCTAGCAGCAGGCGGTGTCACCGGCTCCCTCATCTACGATTTCTACATTGGTCGCGAGCTCAATCCTCGCATCACCCTTCCCCTCATCGGTCAAGTAGACATTAAGGAATTCATGGAAATGCGCCCTGGTCTTCTGGGCTGGATCATTCTCAATTGCGCCTTCATCGCCAAGCAATACCGCCTTTACGGCTACGTCACCGATTCGATTCTCTTCATCACCGCCATCCAGGCTTTCTATGTCTTTGACGGAATCTACATGGAGCCGGCCGTCTTGACTACGATGGATATCACTACCGACGGCTTTGGGTTCATGCTGAGCTTCGGAGATGTCGTTTGGGTGCCCTTCATGTACTCGACTCAGACTCGCTACCTTGCCGTCCATCCTCAGCAGCTGGGCGCTTTTGGACTGATTGCTGTTGGTGCTGTCCTGGCTGCTGGTTATAGCATCTTCCGCCTGTCCAACTCGCAGAAGAACAACTTCCGCAGGAACCCCGAGGATCCCAGTGTTAAGCACCTTACCTACCTCCAGACCAAGACTGGATCGAGACTCATTACCTCGGGATGGTGGGGCATCGCTCGCCACATCAACTATCTCGGTGACTGGCTTCAGAGCTGGCCTTATTCTCTCCCGACCGGCATTGCTGGCTACCAGATCTTGAGCGCCGGCAGCAATGCTCCTGGTGCAATTACCATGCTCGACGGGCGCGAAGTTGTCCAGGGCGAGGCGAGAGGCTGGGGTATTGTTTTCACTTACTTTTACATCTTGTACTTTGCCATTCTCTTGATCCACCGCGACCTCCGAGATGACGAGAAGTGCTCCAAGAAGTATGGCGAGGATTGGGAAAAGTACAAGAAGCTTGTCAAGTGGAGAATTGTCCCTGGCATCTACTAGCCCGATGGATAATGTTCTGTGGTTATGTGGTTGTGGTTTTGGATACCCGGGGGAGCTTCCTCTGTTATCCGCAGTTGGTGCGAGGAATTGTGGATGGTGTGAAGAATAGTGTAACGGAACAAGCCAACAGCTATACCCAATAGGGATGTAATGAAACTACAGTAGAGGTACTCATGGATCCAAGCCGCCCGTCACGTCGCTATTATGAAGGTACGTTTGACCTTATGACATGGCGAGCGGGATCGGAAGGAGGTGACGTGTTACTCACTCCTGTCCTCTGCAGCTGCCCCTGATGTTTTGTCGGTCCGTAAGGGGCAGTGGACAGCTGAGCCAGAGTCTCCAGTGCGGCTGGTCTTCTCGTGTTTACACTTGTCAGTTGTCAATCCGTTTCGACGTTACAGGCGTCGTGTCCAATGAGCGGCGCACAAGTCGTTGATCACGGAGGCTTAGAGGATGGGATAGGGGTCCAGACTTGCCAGACTCCCCAGATTCTCCAGTGTCTCCAGTGCGTCTCCATCCAGCGTTGTCCGTCCCCATATTTCCCTCTGTCCATCACTCATGCGCAATTCCTACAAAGATCCCAACACTTCCCTCTACCCTTGAATTCCTAGGAACATCCTTCCAACAGCATCATCATCATCATCATCAAGCTGAAACAAATTGGGCAAATTAGCACCTTGACGTGGGCGTTGCCATTCCAACCGAATCAGTCGCCGGCCAGGGGTAACACACAAACAAAGGTGACATCATCGTCCGACCCGCACGGCGGCCAAGCTCCTCCCGCATCCACTCTGAGGACCCTGACGACCCCGAAAGGAAACATCCATCAGAGCAACAACAACAAACATCATCAACTCCAATTTGATTCGAAACAGAAAATTTTCTAAGCCTTGAACCACACTTGGTTACCATCACGGCGACATTCCTCCTACTACGACAGTCCACGCCCTCATCCGTATCGTCATCCGACAACTGCTCTAGCTATTCTAGATTGTTCCCCACATCGTCGACGCCGCCACCATTACCACCACCTCCTCCAGTACATCTCCGATACCGCGTTACGATCTCTTCACCGATAACCTATAGCGGAAGAATACCCAACCCAGCAGACTATCTAGTCGCCATGGGCCGCTGGAAAGAGCTCGACACAGACGCCGACCGTCTACCCGAGAACATGACCCGCATAGGCTACGACGCCGATACCCAGGTCTACACCTACCGCGACAACACCGATGGGACCTTATGGGAGGGCGCACCCGGCGCCACCTACGGCAAACTCTTCCCAGTCAAGCCTCCGACGCCATTACCTAGTGTTGAGGTCCCAGAGATCAGCGACGGTACAGAACCGGGCTACGTCCTTGAAGAAGGGCCGGATCACGATCCATTTGGTGACCATAACGCGGTACGACGGGATGACGAGAAGCCTAAACGAGGGTATAGCACGAGGAAGAGGGTGGATTCCGTCATGGATCGAATTGCTAGTATCAGGGAGAAGCCGGATAGGAGGCCCAGTCGCAGGGAGAGTCGAAGGGAAAAGGCAGATGCCGGATACGGCGACGAGAAGGGTGTGGAGAGGAGAAACACCACCAAGAAAGAGCGTGACGGCCACCGCTACTCGGAAAAAGAAACCCTCCCGCGCTCCAACACGACTCGCACAAGCCGTGCTGCCTCCACCCCTAGTTGGGACCCTCGGCCATCGCCACCACAAGAACAAGACGGAAGCTCGAAGCTGAAGCGAGCAGGTACCCTCTCCCGCATCTCTCGCTTCCTGACAGGCAAGCGCAAAGACGCTGATCCAGATTACGACGTGACTCCGGGAACTGGCGGCGGAAGTAACGGTGGGAATGCGAATGGGTCTAGAGTACATCGTTGGGCGACAGGGAGGAGGCAAAGAGCCACGACTTTTGACGACATTCTGGCGGGGATTCCGGGACAGCATTGAGTATTTGACTAGGGTCAACCTTCGTGAGATATCATTTGTTTTTCGGCGGGCAGCCCGGGGAGGTGTCCTCGCTTTTTGCTACACCTTGCTTAGTCTTCTACTCTCATCTCCATTAGAGCAATACACTACAGTTAGAGATACTTTTCGGTTATCCCGTCCGTAAGTGAAACCATAACTCCTTAACACCTGGGAATCCAATACCCTCCCGTCCCATAATAACGATCCCTTGCCTTCCCATCGTCCTTTCTAATTCCCACTTTATGCACCGGTATCCGATCGATCTGCTTCGCCACCTTATCCTTTGCCTCGCTAATCTTTTCTTTCACTTCCTGTCCCTTTTCCGCCACCTTGGTCTTCTTGAACCCTCCTATCAAACCCCTTTCCCCGTCCGCGTTCGTTTCGGCGGCTTCCATACGTTGTATGGTAGATTGGGCGGTCCATTTCGGTCGGTTGAGACTAGCCAGGGCAAGGACGACATCCTGGTGGGCGGTGTCGAGCCGGTGCTGCGGGCCAGTCTCGCGATAGTCCAACACTGGATGCAGAAAACCCATGACCAACACTTCCACCTTGCTTCCAAAGAAGGTTACGCCCGCGCCGAAGTCGGTGATGAGGTGCACCGTGGTCTGTTGTTCCACAATGACAGCTGTTTTCTTCGCGTACGGCACCGGGCCCGAAGAAATGATCGCTTCATACCAGACCTCCTCCATTGGGCCTCCGGGACCCATGGGGCCACCCTTGCCGGGTATGATGCGAGCATAGCCGAAATACACGCCTTTGAAGTAGTGCTTGATTTCCTCTGGTAGGTCTTTGAGGTTGGCTGTGGGGATGCCCATTTCCGCTGTGTTTCTTCCCGTCCCGGGGACCACTTTCCCTCCGAACCGGATTGGCAGCGGCGCTAGCGGTCCTTCGTCGGGCCCAACCACGCCCGGCATTCCGCTCCCTTGTTGACTTCCTTCTGGCCCTCTCCTCGTCGCCATACCCGCAGCAGAACCAGCACCAGCAACAACACACATAGCACCAAACAACTCCCTCAACCGTTCCTGCTCCTCCTCCTCGGCCTCTTCCCTCGCGGCCTTGACCTCCTCGGTAGCAATGATTCCGAGTTCTTCAACGATGGGATGCGCTCGGTAGGGGTCGATGATTTTAGTGATTGGGTCCTTGATCGGCGCAATTTTGGAGGCGACCATCTCCGAAGCAATAAAAGAGGTAAGAGAGATGCCCATTTCCAGCGGCATGGTCGACAGAGAGGCGCCGCGGATGGATGAAGGGTCAGTGGATGTACTCGCCAACCTAAAAATTGGGCTCGAGCACAACACCTTCATCTTCTTCCGCTGCTCTTCAAGCAGCGACTGTGGATCTCTGTCACTTTTCTTCCTTTTCTCGTCGTCCTTTTCTGAACCATCTGGGTTGACGCACAAATGAACCCGAAAATACCCGTCCTCACACCCCTCCGGCACCCGCACCACAGCCGTCAAGCGTGCCACATGTCCCTTTTTGTCGCCGAACTCCTTCTTCAGCTTCTTCTCCGTCCGTTTGATATCCCTCCTCCACCCCCTTTCTTCCGTCGCCCCTCCCAGCCCTAGCAATCCTTGTCCACCCGTCTTGCCAGCACTTCCACTTTCCAACTCCTCAGCCAGGACTTTACTAGCAGGCGTCACACAAACCCAATCCTCTCTACCACCTAACCAGTTCTTGATCTTCATCCCACTGTCTCCCGAAAATCCACGCTGTTGAATCCACAACGACCATCCGTTTCCATTCCCAGCTCCATCCGAGCTGACACCAGCAGCTGGCGGTAAAGAAGGCAAAGCAGGAAGCGGGTACTTGGGACTCGAAAAGATAGAGATAGTCACGGTCGTTTTGGGACCGCGGTGCCAGATGACAGCCGGCGAGTGGCGCAGAATGGTGTAGTGCTTGGTGGACTCGAAGGGGTGGGAAATGAGGCCCGATGCAAGGTAGGCGGTTTCGGAGAGGGCGTTGGACCAGAATCCCTTTGACTCTTCCTTTTTGGAGGACTCGGATTGTTGTTGGAGTTGGAGCTGTGGGAGGGATTGGGAGTGGTGGAGTTGTTGTTGTTGTGGGTGCGGTGGTTGCGCTATGGCAAAGGTCTTGGCATGCTGCAAATGGGGATGCTGACGCTCGGGAGAACGTTGTGGTGGTGGAGGAGGGGGAGGAGGAGGGAATGCTTGTGCGAGTTGATGGTGAGGATGTTGTCCGGGAAGACCCAACGGCTGCGGTGGCGGTCCCGGCAGCCGCGGTGGAGGAGGAGGAGGGAAAGGGATAGCTGCCGTCGTCGTCGCAGCGCGGGGTGGTGGAGGGCCCGGTGGAGGTCCAGGAAAGCCCCGGCCGTCAAAAGTGGGCCCTGCTCCGCTTGTTCCGTTCCAGGCGGATCCTTGTCCCGATCCGAAAATCCCGGGATGTTCGGGTGGTCCGGGACTGGGAACAGCATTTCCGTATCGATACGGGCTGTCAGCGGGCATGTTGTACGAAGGCGGATATGGCGAGTGAGGTGTCAATGGAGTATGCGGCTGCTGGTGGTATCTGTCATTTCCCAGCCCCGGTGGTGGACCAAAACGACCTCCATGCCCGGTAGTTGCTGCCCGTTGAGGTGGAGGGACTGAGCCACTTGGGCTTCGTGGCGCCGTGGAGGGGGGTTCGAATGCATATGCTGACGGAGAAGGGGTGGGATATGGAGAGAGATGGCTCGAAGATGACAGGGGAGGACCAGGTCGGAGGGTGGGCATGCTAGTCTGCACTTTAAGATTGTTGTGGTTGCGGGAGTGCTGCTGTGTGTGAGGGTCGTGATAGTTCCCATGAGGTTGCCTTTCGGGGGGGATATCCATCACCGTAGGCCATTGGTGTCCTCCATTGCCATAACCAAGGCCATAAGCATACCCATGTCCTTGGTGCTGCTGCTGGTAATGCTGGTGATGTCCGTCGCCATAATGCGCATCTTGAGCAGTTCGAGGCCGGCCATGGAAAGGCGAAGACAATCCCCTTCCTCCTCCCGGTTGTAGAACACTTGGATGCTCATGCCTCGGCGTCGCACCATCTCTACTCCCCCTACTTACTGGCCTGTCCAACGCTTGTTCCCCCAAATCCAACGACGAAGGCGGATTATTTGCCGCGGGCCAGTAAGCGTGGAATGTTTGTCCCTGCGTACCCTGTCCATTGGGTGTATCAGGCCTTTGCTGTCTTTCCGGGACCCTTGGTGGAAGAAGAGGCGGCTTTTCATCCTTTACCAATACCTCCCGTGTCGGAAAAGCCGTGGTTTGCTCCTTGTGGAAGGAAATGGGCTGAGGAACCGCAGAGGGCTGGCGAAGGTGGGATCCAGAACAAGCTGCTGTGAGACTTTGAGCGGGAGCCTCGTCAAAGTCGTCTAGATAATCGTCGATGAGGTCGATGAGTTCGAATGCTGAGCCTGGACTTTGGCCTTGTGCTTGTGTTGGTCCGCCATAAGGAGGTGGAGGGTCCAGGTATGGATGTTGTTGTGGCGTAAATGGTGCATATGCCTGTGGTTGTCGATGAGTTGCATGTGGTGTGGTGGGCGCTGCGTCAAGTGGTGTCGGTTTCCGTCTTATAGGCAGCGGGGGGACCTTGTGACCATGGCTGTACGTTTGCATTGCGGATTCCAGATTTCAATAGTTCTTTTTCTTCAAGTGTGTAAGGTAGCTGACTTCTGAAAAGAGTGACTAAAGTGAGTGATATCAATACAAGAACTGTGAACAAATAGAGAAGGTGTTGTTCCGAAAAAGGATCCGTAAAGTTTCTAGAAGTTCCGTGACTTGGAGATCAGCGGGTGCCCCTGGGTGGACGCCCTGGGGAATCAACGAACGGGACGGGAAAAGGGTCAAATTGTTATACCCGATACGGACTAGCGTAATGGGCTCAGGAAATGGGTCATCCCAACTCGTCCATGCGCTTGCAAGGAAGTCGAGTGTGGGCACGCTGGACGACTCCTGCCGAGCTTTGTCGTGGAAGATACAGGTAACCACGAGCTATACTACGACCCCGACTTTGCCGGCCAACTGTATCAACACTGGAAATCGTCCATACCTAGCTATCGAGCTCGTCCTCGCCTACTTCATCCATCTCCACGAACCACATCAGTATACCGGATAGACGGCCCTCACCTCACTGAGCGATGTGCCTAGATGGTGTCAGCAAAAATACCTAATGGGCGACGATGAGGGGCAAGAGCTGCCTGGCGCAGCGGCTCAGGCTTGGAAACGCGGCATCGCCGAAAGTTCTGAGCTTTACAGATTCAAGATCAGTCATGGTCCATATTCCGCCAACGAATGGATTTACAGCCCTGATCACGACGTGTTCATTTTGGGTACATGTATGAAGGAAGTCGAGGTGCTTGGGTTACAAGTGTTGGATGATAGAGGTAGGCATCGCATACGACGATGATGTCTTGAGCCCTAACCCCACCAACGCCAGGCCTGAAAGGGCATCATGCCCTGCATGTCTAGGTTGCGTCAAAAGCGCGCTATCGGGCTGGGACAGTTCCCCTCCGTCAACAAACTTGTTTCGTGTTCGACATCTTTGAGCTTCACGATTTCTGCAGTCCAGTTCACATACACACACGTTTGCAATGTCGACCGCACCGCAACTGTCTCCACAACTCTGGAGGAAGCTTCCATCCGAACTCATCCAGCAAGTCCTGAACCATTTCATCGACGACCTTCTCGACGATCATGACATAGACTGGATTTCCGAGGACGAGATCCCCAGAGGCGAACTACCCCAGCTGTTGGACCCATGGACAAAATATCGCCACATGCCGCTCTTTAGTGGCCAGAAGAATCGCATTGAGCGCCACTACCGCGACCTCTGGCTCAGCAGGATCACGATTTACCTGTACCTGGACCCCAACATGTGGAATACCTCGCGCAGGATGCTGTACTGTCGATACCTCCCCTGCCCCGAAGGTAAGGATCTTGCAACTACGCTGCCGGAAGTTGAAGTCAAGGAAGGTGGGAAAGAGGTCGACGCGGAGGAGAAGGTCACGTTCTTCCTAAGGGGTGCAGTGCGGTCAGCTCGTGAAAACTCGTACGGAGAGACCTCGAAGCGAGAATTCGGCAAGGTACCAGAAATTCTGCCTCGTGTCGAGAGCGCGTGGGGCAAGGTGTTAAAGGGAAAGACGGAACGACTCGGCCTGGCGATGCGCACCAAGGAGCAGACTCTTGAGTCGGGACCCGAGGATAATTTGTGGACAAGCGAGAGCGAAGTCGTGCTGAAGGGTTTGGAGGTGTTGGACCAAGGTCGGCGAGTGCAGTTCAACTGGAAAAGGCTGATGAGCAAGTTCTTGTTGAAGTTCGGATTATATAACGGGTACACTTACATTCCTGAACCGGGAGTGGAAGTGAGCGAAGATGAGGATGATTGGGATGCGTCGGATTAATGGAATGATTTGAGTACAATGAGGGAAGGGATGTCTAGGATATTAAGGATGAAGATGAGCCAACAGGGGATAGATCGGGCATAGGAAGGCTGTAATGGTGCGCGTGGAAGCTATTGCGTAGGAGTATGGGATGGTTGCAACCATGTACAGGGGGATTGTTGGCTTGCATGCCAGGCGACAATTGGCCTTTCTGGCGAGAACACGTCATCATATGGCCAAGTACCTCTAGAGATATAGAGGTACGTAGGGGTCACGGTATTTATCGCACGAGGTATTGCTTTCTTGCTTCCCCTCATTGATCTTCTGTCCTCTTTTCTCTTGTGCTCTTTTTTCCCTCTGTACTCCAACCTTCTTGGTGCCTTTCGTTCATCTCTCCAACCTTTGCAGTCTCTGTTTCCCTCGCAATTGCACACAACATGGAACCTTCACCTCAGTCCACGTGCACTCAGTCCCTTCCATCTCCGCACACGAGATTATCGGACGGACTGGAACTTTCGTCAATCTGGCAACTCCTCCCCATCGAACTCGTCCAACAAATCCTCGACCACTTCATCACAAACCTCCTTATCTCCTGCCGAGCTTCCGACATGTACTCTACCACTACAAATGCCGCTATCCTCAAGGATGCTTGGTTCAACTTCCGACGGGATAGCCTCTTCAGATGCCAGAAGCACCTTATTGAGCGTTATTTTTATGATCACTGGCTGAACCATGTGCGATTCAATATATACGTTGATGGCCACATGCCACCCGGAATAAGATATCGCTACGGTGGTAAATATATGCACGCCCACAACTTTCCTGGTATCTTCTCACCAGATCCTCAGCTCACGCCTAACGACAATGGTGATCCCGAGACCGAAAAGGCCACCTTCGTTTTCAGACGTCGAAAGGGAAGGGACTGTCCCCGCGCTTCCCTCCCTTCCACTTGGAATAGGCTCATGCACGCGACCAACAATGGGTGGCCTCCACTTCACATTGAACCCCCGGATGGAACGCGTATCGATTCAATTGAGGTGTGTCTGGAAGGGTGGGAGGTGTCAAACGACGGGGTTTGCATCAGCTTTCCGTGGAAGAAGTTGATGACAATGGTGATCACCCGTATTCTGGAGATATGGAAAATGCCTCCAGTAGTTGTAGATGAAGATGATCTACCGTTGCTGCCGCCACCAGTAGACTCATTATTGGTGGGGTGGTTCATGCCCGAGCCAAGTTGGACCTGGCACTAGGGTTTTTCTAGTGACATTGGACGTTCATGTTGCCTGGTACTTCTCATTTATACCAAGATGCATTCAGTTGTGACACGGATTAGTTATTGTATGATTGTCCTAGACACATTCTTGAATTGAAGGGTCTGCAGATGTTACGAGATTGAAAGGGCATCTGGTTTGCGTGGATAGATTCCATGTCATTTGTTAACGGACTTGTTGATGTTGAGGGAAAGCTGAATGCCGTGGGATGGTGCAGGCGACTGAGGGATCAGGGGTAGAAGTAGGTAATGTATGATGAGCAGGATTTACTTGGAAATGGCAGGAACAGAGCCAAACTTCACAGAAGAATGCAGCATGCCCCTGGTAACCTTTGCTTGCCGCCTTGCCCGCAACTTTGCTTTCCACTTGCTATTTGGTTCATTTTATTAGCCTTGCTAATTGACTAATTGTCTTTTGAGAACACTCTGCTATGGTACACTACATACAGGTAAGTTAGGTCCCGCCTACATCGATCTGCATGTTTCCCGGTTCAAATCCTTTGCCCTGCAGACCACAATTTCCCCGTTTGATCAGTACCTAGGTTCCCTTCGACAATGGTTTGACAATCACCAGAACGTTATTATCTCCAGATCGTAGATCGTTGATTTCGCCAGCTACCTAGGCTATATGTAGCTGGCATCCGTCTCAGGTTCAGAGTTAGATACACAGTTCTTGCCGCTGCACAGCAACCAAAGTGACCAAGAGCAACCATTAAAGCAACCAGGCCATCGTTCCGCTTGACTCTGAGAAACGTCGCTAGAGGTATCACTCGCGCAAATCGACGCTCATCACATCTATCAACCCAACTCTCCTTCACTGCAATGGAAGGCACTCATGAGCATTCCCCTGAGCCCTCGCCTCACTCCCCTGGACCTTTGAGGCTATCTACCACATGGCCCGCTGATATCAATCTGTGGCACAACGAGCGAGTAATCATGTCGACAATATGGAGTGAGCTCCCAATTGAACTGGTACAAAAGATTTTCAATCACCTCATTGAGAGCTTCATCAACGAGTGTTTTTTCAACGACGAATGCGAGTTTGATACTGAAGGAAACTTCGTGGCCATTTCACCCGACATCGGCATCAAGAATGGAATTTCTTTCAAAACCTGGAACCTTCGCCGTGAGTCTCTTTTCAGACGTCAGAGACATCTCATTGAGCGCCACTTCCTAGACGAGTGGCTGACCAGGGTAACGCTCTACCTGTGCCTTGACGCCGAGTTTGATACCCCTTTCCTTCGTTACTTTCACTTTCCCGAGTCTGAAGATCATCACGCTTTGACGAGGCTTGGCCCCGATAAGATGGTTACCTTCTTTCTCTACAAGCCTGAAGAAAACGGATTCGTCGCGGCAGGTGACATTACTATAGAGGAAATGATGGACGATCTCCTGGACGCTTGGGACGATTATGTTGCGGATAGAACTTCGAGCTACCTAATCGTGGGGGTTCGTGCGAGAACTTGGCAGCAAAACGTTATCCAGTTTAACCGGGGCTTGGACATGTACAATCTCCGTAAGGGTTCAGTTGATCTGGAGGGCTTGGAGGTGTCAGAAGATGGCAGGTACATCCGGTTCAGGTGGGAGGATTTTATCACGGGGATGGTGAACTGGTTTCTTTATGAGACAGAGGAAACACGACTCTGAACACATTCCACAAGAACCTTACATGTAACACCACCACCAGACCTCTAGGTGCTCTGACAAACAACTTGATAACTGCCAATACCCCTCCCCCCAACAAAGCCCCCACAAGTATTCGGCGCCACCGTCCCAAACGCGCTTTCAGCAGCGCAACCCGCCTCCTCATAGAACCTCAGCAAGCACTTATTCGCCTCCGGCCAGACGCCCGTGATCCTGACTGACTGGACGGGCGTCGACACGCCGTTGTCAATAAATTCGTAACATCCTTGGGAGACAGTGGTATCCGGGGACAACGTGGCGTAGGAGACGGGAATCAGGACCTCCGAGGGCGGACCGGAGCAGGAGGTGGAGGAGAGAAAAGGTTGGAGAGAGGCGTTTGGATTGGGGTTTGTGAGTGGGGGCTGGGAGCTAAAAGATGGGGAGAGGAGTCAGTTTTGTGGAATAGAAAGATGAGTCCGGGAAGAAGGGACGGGGGTCGGCTTACTTTTGCCTGGCGTTGATGAGGATGGGTTTGGGAGCTGCAAGGGCGCCAGTTGTGAAGGCGAGGAAGACGATGGAGGGGAGGATGGAGAACTTCATTGTGCTTTCCGTTCTGTCAAAAAGATTTGGTGGTTGCTGCAGATTGAGAGATGAGAGTCCAAGGATGGATATTGATGCAATAATATTGATAGAGGTACCTAGTAGATGGGTGTGACTTGGAGAAAGGATGTTGATGCAGTCTGGTAATATTGATACCTAGAGGTAGTGGATGGGATAACGATCATTTCAACTCGAGCAGTCGACGAGGGCTCCTCACTTTAAATGTTGTCTTCCAGTCCGCAGCATATCCCGATGTGGAACCATCTTTCTTTGCGTGACACGAACGGCGAGTCGGTGACGGGTCATCTTTGGCAATCATTGTGGCAATTGGCATGGGCATCTGACTATCCGAACTCACCTTCTCTTTCCCACTCCCCATTTGGTGTACCGTACCCATCCATCACGGACTCCATCTTTCCTCATCAACAATTTCTCCGAGCATCTCCTTCCCGCTGTTCAATTAGAGCGAGCATTGCGGCTTATGCAACACAACAAGTCTGTCAGCAAATGGCGTAGCTCACACGACAAAGGTGACCCCTAAAAATTGAAGTGGCATATAACTACCTAGACCACAGCTCGTGACGTAAGACAACGAGAAACAGGGTTCAATGGGCTTACGACCGAGCCGCCCGCGCCGTAAATAGATCGCCAATCGGGATTTGGAGTCGCAGATCATCAGATGAATCGGACTTGTCGGCCTTGTAAGTCTCTTCTTGGAGCTAACATTCTGTCTAGTGCGGATTCGGCTTGGCGACATGTCTGACATTGGATCTCAGCCAGTTAAAGATGCAGGATGAAGATCATGGCTACGAATTTACCGACGCTGATGGCAAAGCTCGTGTTGCACAGGTCACAACATGCTTTGGTCGGCTGGTTAGTCGAAAACGGGCCAGCGGTCGCTGTTGGTCATTAGCCTTTGTTCGCTCCAAGCCAACGGGCATGACTGCAGGACAAGTCGTGCGGAACTAGCCAACAAAAGGGACTCAGGGGGGGGGGGGGGCAATTACCTATAATTTAGGCACTGGGAAGCTCAAGTGGGCAATAATTGGGTATTATTGGACGTCCCAATAGTCATCAAAGTTCTTTCGGTCCCCTCCAGGTCTCCCAGGTGACTGAGCCCAGTGTATATGCCACAGACATACCCACCATCACTTTCGTCTACCATCACAGCGGCATCAACCACCGGTGAGCGTCAGACCGAGGCGCATACCTAGCCAAGCGATCAAGCGACATTTCAAGTGGTGATTCCATGGAGGCCGTTGACCCTTCTAGCGTCACAGTGCACCTCTCAAGGAGGATACAAACGTCAACGGAAGGAACTCTGGGCCTCTCTCATACTCGTCAATTGCCAGGCTGAAGTTGTTGAGAATACGCGAACCAGACATCTTGACCAGTTGATCGATCAGTTCGACTGGGGAGGTTCTGCCAGATGGGCGACAGTTGCTGCTGTGGGGATTCCATGGCGAAGATAAGCGAAGTTGATTGTCTTGACGGCTAATGAAGGGCACTAGAGGTACCACTCTGAATCTTCCCCCTCTGAATCCCCCCCCCCCCCCCCCCCCCCCTCTGAATCCTCCCCCTCGGAATCTACCCCCTCTGAATCTTCACCCTCGGAATATTCCCCCTCTGAACTTCCACTTCCCAAAGCGGTTTGCAGATGTCCATATCCTTCTTCTCACAAGAGAAGACGGTGACAATGGTCCTCCCAGGCCAGTAAATATACGAAAGACCGATAGCGTCTCGAGGTGTAACTTTTCTTCCATGCCCGAATCAAGCCGCCAATAAGTTGGCTGGAGCTGACCTTGATCGAGTCATTGTCGGAATCATCACCTTGGACGTCAGGTAGATGGCTGGCCGGTATCTCCCCCTCCACCCACCTGTGCAGATCGGAGATCCACTCCAGAGTGAAGGAGTAATGGGGTTCTGGGTCGACATGAAGTCCACCCGGTGGGAAGCTGTTGACATAATTGTTCCATCCTTTCGAGGTATCAAAGCTCGGATATTCGTAATCGTACCCGCCATGCATGGGTGCCTCTAGCGTATATAGATATGACGTTTCGCACCCGGCTAGAGGCAAGGTGATAGTGTCGTTGGTGGATTCGTAAGCTTCACCCTTCCCCTCGTCGGCCGCCCATAACCGCATGATCTGACCGCTGTCGATCCCTGTGAATTCTGGACGGTTTGTAGTAGGGTGAAACTCTACCGAACGTCCCAGGCGCAAGATGGGGAGTAAGAGTTGTCGATATAGCGCATCGATCCGCCGCCTTTGGTGATGGTTCAGCTGGCGGAGAGTCTCCCAGGGATAAAACGGGTCCGAGCCAATGTGCCGGAGATGGATACTGACAAGCTCATGAAGAACCCGTTGCACAAGCTCCACAGGCAAGGACTGCCAGATTGGCGAGAGCGCCTGTGGTGATCGGAAGATTGGAGGCGGCCGAGCTGGCAATGGCCTGGGAGGTGCCCGTTTGCGCCCTTGTCGTGTGGTGTTGGAGTGCGCTGCCCGTTCCATGTCTAGTAGTTCCTTTGGAGGTCGCTCTCCTGCCCGTTGGTGCTCCTCCTCTGAGCATTCATCCGGGTCGAATCGCAAGGTGGTGTCCGTGTTTCCGACGAAAGATTAGGTAAACAAATAAAGGGGTCACGTGGGGGGTGAAGCGAAGTTTTATTCAGTTGCCGTTCCAATCCAAGTCACATGACAGTCAGGCCCGGGCATTACTTACCTAATGCACTCCCAACCACTGCAGCTGTGGTTACAGTGGGCTAACAGTACCCCTGTGGCCCTGTATACTACAGTATCATGATGTATTTCAGTTCCCCGCAATGCTTGTCAGAGCTGCCCGACCTACATGAACGCGGCGCGTTGCCCGTCCCGCTCGGTGACATCCACATCTCATACATTCCCCTTCGGGCCCCCTTCCACTCCTCCGTCACCATCTTCCATCCATCTCTCCCAGTCCTGTCGGGAGTCAACCTTAAGTCTTGTTTCCTTACAATTCAGCCTACCCACCTAGGTACTACCTTCATCCGATCCTCCTGCTGGTCAGCGAGTCGATACAACCATTCACCCAACATGCACTGAACCACCGTCGCCAACCACGACCGGCTCTTCCATTCCAGTCCCTTCTTCCACCCCAGGCCACGGCGTAAAGACATTCACAACCCAGTCAATCAGTCAGTCACAATGGCGAGCTTCCACTCCCACTCTCCCAGCCCACCAGCAGCCCTCTCACCCGATGACGCCCCCCAACCAAGACGGCCCTCACGAACGTCCCTTCACGATGCCGCCGCCCCAGCACTATCCCCCGAACCACCAGGCCACGAGCTTGAGGATGGGGCCGACTCGTCCGAGTTCAACGCCGACGACGTGCCCGTTGAAGTCCTCGTCAGGCACCTCCTCGCCGCCAAACAGTCCCTCTCCTCCATGACCCTTGTCCTGCGCGCCAACGACCTGGCGACCTCGGCACGCCAGATGCACCAAGAATTCGTCATCCTCTCGGCGCAGACCGCCTTCCTGCGCCACGGCATTCTCCAAGAGCTTCACATTCTTCACCAACTCCGCCGGGGCATGGCACGCGCCTATGATAACGGCACTCGCGATTTCAAGCACATCATCCGCACCCTCGACACCGCCGACGGCCGACTTGAGAAAATCATGCAAGTTCTGCGCAAGACCACAGTCGAAAACGTTTTCCGCCAGCCGGGCGAGGAGCCCAAGTGTCTGTTGGACTTTGTCGACCCCAAGATTGTCGAGCAGGTACGCGACGCGCTGAAGGAGAGCATCCACGAGCTTTCAGCAGCCAAGACCTCGTTCGACGGCGATCTCCTCCGCTTCGACACCGACCTGCGTACCCTCACCGATGCCATGGCCGCTGCCGCCTCCCTCGCCAACCCAACCACTACAACACCCGACGGGTATCCCCCCGACCAGCGATCCATACCCAACCTGCTCTCCGCCTTGTCCGAGGGCTCCCACCTCATGGCCGAACATCTCTCCTCTTTGACTCGGCACTTCGACATGTGCGTAACCGCCGTGCGCACCACCGAGGGCGGGGCTGCTTTAGCCCGCCGGCGCGCAGCGGAAGCCACATCCTCAGACGAGGACCAGGCTCCAGTGTCCATATCAGGCGTCATCTCCGCCCAGGAATCCGAGTCGGGCCCGTCGGCCTTTGAACCCATGGACCCTCTCGAGCGCCAGGAACTACTACACGTCGTAATGCGCGATGCCGCCGAGGTCGATGACGTGATTGCCGATATTCACAACGTGCTGCAACAAATGGAGATGGACCATGCATCGCTCCATTCGCTCTTCTCAGCCAGCCGAGCCTCCCACGCCGCTACGCTCACATGCTTCTCCCTGCTCGAGGAGGTCGGTGCCCGGGCGTCCTCGTATGTTGCCGCCGAGGCCGAATTTGTGCAAAGATGGGAGGACGAGAAGGAGACGATCGACGAGAACGTGTCAAAGATGGACGAGCTCAAAAAGTTCTACGAAGGGTTCCTGAATGCTTATGGCGGCTTACTGCTCGAAGTGGAACGACGAAGAGCGGTGGAGGGCAAGATTGACAGCATATGGAGGAAAGCGAGGGAGCAGGTCGACAAGCTGGTGGAGGCGGACAAGAGGGAGAGAGAGCATTTCCGGTTGGAAGTGGGCGATTATGTGCCGGCGGATTTGTGGGGGGTGGTGGATAGGCCCTTGGGGAGATGGGCCGTTGTTCCGTTGGAGGACACCAGAGAGGGATCGTATGAGTTGGAAGCACATGGAGAACCTGAGAATGAGGGCAAGGTTGAGACTGCGTATGAGAGGGAAACAGAGCCGAGCACGCCGACACCAAGAAAGATGCCGTTGAATGGACCCGGGTCGGCTGGGGAACGACCGTTTTGATGATGATATGAAGGTCTTGGGTTTACCGATTGATTTGTTTTAGGCTTGTTGGTGTTTGGGTCAGCGTATGTTTGGTGTTCTCTACTCATTAGGCATGGCATGGAAAGGGGAATGATGTGCGGCTGGATGTCGCAACTGGCAACATGGGGGCTTGGAAGGCAATCACTCTTGGATTAAGGTAAGTAGGTAGGTAGTCATCAACTTAGTCTGCAATGTAAACAAACACTGACTGATTCAGTGTTCCGAGTGGCAAAGCTGAATGTTCAAAAGCTATCTCGTTACTCTTATGTGTCGCTCAAGCACGTTCCGTGCTGTACAAGGCTTTATCATCTCTATCCTTTGCCCCAGCGATGAAGTGGAAGCTTGATTGGATCTAGTAGCAAAATAATTGGTGTAACGAGAAGCACTATTGGATCTAGGATTTGGGCAGTCTCATAGACATACACCCACGCTAAAACTACCTCTACCATCGAGTGTCGTCAACATGGCGGATGAGCAAGGTGTGTCCTGGCATTCCCTCCCACGGCGAAGCTTGTCCCAGGCTAGCAGACTGCCCAATAGCACTAGACTAAACCCATTATCCTTTACATCGACCAATCCCCCAATGGTCTATCCGCTCTAGGATCAGGACCAAGTCTCCCTTTGCACTGAGGTTCCTTGAGCTTTCCTGGGGTCCTTCTCCTGAAAGGACGGGAACTACAGGATCAGTTTGGGATAAAATTCTCTGCTGGGCACACGGTGAAGTGACTTCTAGAGGGACAGAGATGATCGATTCAATATGTGAGCGTGAGGGGTTTTTGCGGTAGGCGGGAGGACAGGATCGAGCGGCGTCGATGAATAGACGTAGGCATTAGGAAGCAGGACACCTCCGTCCATGGCCATTCGATCTTGAGATCAGGGACTGATCTCGAAGTGTTTGAGACTCGACTCTTGCAAGGTGGAGGGCATGTGAATGGGACAAAGAATAGATGGAGGTTTAATGAAGTGATCGAACATGAGCAACGTTCGCTTCTCATGAAGGCCGATCTATTCTATCCTGTTTCCGGTGCGAGGGCAAACCGGCTCTTCAAGAGGCCCAATCAACGAACTTCACAGTGGTTCTCTGAAGCCATTCACCTCCCTTCATGGGGTGTAAACGAAGTAGTCCAAGGACCTCAAATAATGCCCAATAGTTCCTCCTCGGAAATATATAAACATCCCCCTAATTGCACCACTACGATCTTTTCCACCAGATAGCCCAACAACCAAGCAGTCAAGCGAAGGCAAAGATAGATCACCTTTAAACCTCCAGAAAAAAACCACCAGGATACGCAAACTACAAGCAGTGAGCTAGCATTACAATAATCTGAACCAGCCTCCTAGACAAAGAAGCACTAACACCCATACCATAAGTAGGTAGTATCCCAGAACCAAACCCCTAAAAAGCACACCAGCCCAAATGTGCAGATTCGGCATTGAATACAGTTTCTGCCGCAACGGCAATCGGTGCCGAGGTGGCAAAGGCCTCTTCCATGAAGGGACCGTTCGCCGCTACAACTATTATACGCAAAGACACAACAGGCGGAACTGCAACAATAGAGGCTGTCGAGGCAATCTTCAGCATGATTCGCGGCTGGATCGTTGGGTTGAGGTTGGGGAGTGTGATATATGCAATCCAAATTGGTTCTTGCAGCGTTGAATGGTACTAGGCACTTACCTATGCCTCATTATTTGGTCCTCTTCTCTATGATTTTGGAGGCCCACATTGCCGGTGATTTACCTCTAGGTACCGTGCAGGGAATTCAATATGAAAAGGAGGAATCATGGAAAAGGTCAAGACCTAATCAGGAAGCGGGAAGGTGGAGGTCAGGGGCAGGTAAAATAGAAGGAACAGAAAATGCCAGGAAACTACCTCTCAAAATAAACTTCAAACTTGCAAGTCATTTCTCATCGAACAGGTGAATTTGCTCTTGGAATCACTACAAGAATACCTCAGACGCTTCCATTTTTATGATCCGTGACTCTTGTTGAACAGTGGACGATTTGTCACGGTAACGAGCTTATTCCATTCTTTGGTGACCTTGGAATCCGAGGCACTGATTCAACCCTCCGCTCAGGACATACCCTACTCTTCCCTAAAATTATCGACAATCCCTACGCTCGCCCCCCCCCCCCCCCCCCCCCCGTTTCCATTTCATGCCCATTCTCACTTCCTCGTTACCTCTACGCCATCGTACCTACCTATCTTCTCCCACCCTCCAATATTTCTGGGGGAAAGGTTAGTTCATTTTGTTCAGGAAGAAAGGGGAAGTGAAATGTTTAGGAAGGAAGGAAGGACTGAGAGACGTTGAGAAGGTGGAAATTTCGACCTTCGGACCCCCATCCAACGTAAAAACCAAGGACACTAGTAAATATGGCCTCTGCTTGTTCGAGGAACAGAGCTTGAGCCAAGCTAATTATCAACAAGGACAACTCATATCACGAAATCAATCTTTCCGCTACGGTTATTGCTTCATGTTGTTTGCGTCTTCCTTCGGATCTCTCTACCTGCCCGATATCTTCGAGAACGAAACTACCTATTGTTGTGCGCGTAGTTGATTTACATGTCGGCGGTACCCAGACGAGAGGGAGGCACTGAGATCCAATCCGTACCTCTACCTAGTAGGCGACTCCCACCATCACAACCCCATTCTCTGCATTGTCACCAGGGTTTAGGAAGCACTAACACTCTCCATCACAGGAACCCCTAGAACCAAACCAAGCCACTAAAGCAGCACGAAATCTAGAAGAATGTGCAGATACGGCATTCTATACAGGTTCTGCAGCAGCGGCAACCGCTGTTCGGGTGGCCACGGCCTCTTCCAAACTCCTCGCTCTTGTTACACGCAAATACGCCAGATTGCAGTGAAATGCACAAAACCCAACTGTGTTGGACCTGCCCGTGCCATACATGACGAGCGGTTGGATACATTGGAGGTGGTAGGGGATTGTGAGAGTTGCAAAGCCAACCAGCTTTTGGAAAACTACGATTTTCGTGGAAACGCTAAAGAAGATTCCAACATGGCAGAAGAGGACCCTAATGCCACAGAGTAAAAGCTCCGGGAATTTGGGGATATCGTGCGGGTATGTTTCGGAAGTAGATCAGCGTGAAGGGAAGGAGACGGAGGACTGGACAAAGGTGGAAAAATCTGAGTGTTGAGGCTCGGAGGGAATGAAGAAGCGAATGTCAAACATGAAAAGGGGCAGAGCATTACAGCAATTTACCTATGGAAACTCGGAGCAATAAAAGAAGTTTCCGAATAGATCCCTAAGACCTCGGGTGACCTTGACCCAGATGACCAAATATCACCCTAGCAACCTCATCACCGTTATCATTTCCATACGGATCATGCGGTAGCCGAGCAACAGGGACACAGCTCATCAATCCGTCTTGAAACATATAAATGAGTCATCATCACCCGCTTGCAGGTTGGGCAGTCGCTGGTAATGGCATAGCGGTAGACCAGTCTTCTAGTGCGCTTGAACCATCGCCGGTACAGCTGCCCTTGTTCGTTGACCCAGCCATAGCCGGCTGGACAATCGGCGCCTTTTAAGGCAAAAGTGATGTTCCATGTAGGAGTGGCACATGGTGAGTAGTAGCGAGTTCAATCCCCTCAAGCAAGTTGCTGTGGGCAAGGTTGGAATTCCGATGGGGGTTGCCGAAAAAAAAAGAGAATTCCACTTGAAAAAGGTACCTACCTGTTGGGAACTGTGGCCCTGTGCTATTATATGCTCCGTGTTGACATCAAGTTGCGACTCACACATGATGCAAATGTGTTCATTCCTGAACGAACTCGGGTGGTCGATGACCCATTATCCGTTTGTTGACGTGGGAGTCTTCAACGACCATGAATCGAATCATCTCAACGCTTCATGTCAATGTATGCCTGGATGAGGTGCCGGAAGCAGGCCAGAAGGTCGTGATGGGTTTACTTTGATCGCAAGTTTCCATCGTTTCCGTTGATGAAACACAGATATTCAGAGGTCATATACCAGATTTGACCATGAGTAAAATGAAATGTAAAAAGTCGGATGATGTTAGGTTTCCATGTACACCCGGGACCATGGTGTCCATTGCTAGCTTGATGACTTTGGGAATCAGCCCACCTCCATGCCCCATGGGTGGAGAATTGGCTTTTGGGTAGTCGCCCCTTGGGAACACTAACAGCTAGGTTCTGTCCAACAGGGAAGCGTACACTGGGTGCTGTTAGTACTATTAGTGCTGATTGAGTCACCGGCAGAAGCAGGTGTGTTCCACACCGTATTGAGATGTCGAAGATGCAAAAGCGGAAGGAATGAATGTGGAATGAATCAGAATAATCGATAGCGTCAACATCATCGCTTAGCGTAGGCGACAAGCTCACTCCAGTGGCAAACTGGTCAACATCGGTGCAGGGACAGGGGTGAAATGTACTCTGTGCTCGTAGAGGCAAAACAAATTATAAATGCTGAATACTGCAAAGAGCCAAAGACTACTTAAACAGCCATATTATCTGGAACGCAAACATTCAACAACATCTTCAGTTCAATTCCAATCCGTCTTCGAGTCGTCGGCAAGAACTCGATACTCACGGATTACCCTAACCCTGAATCTCGAAAACAGCCCTACAACTGGAAGACACCCCGCATTACGATAAGATAAGGTAAGCTCGCCCCACCAAGAAAATTGCCAGTGGACGGGAAGTGGAAGTTCGCAAGTTCCATGACGATTTCCATTTCGTCTGCCATCCTGTCTCATCACCACCTGCTGATAACTATCGACGGAACTGACGCAAGCAGACTCGGCCGCAAGATGGCGTCCCAACCAGAACTCACGTCGACCACAGCGGCGACCGACAACCAAAATGTCGACCTCAGCAACACCACCGCCCAGCTCGACAACCTTGCGATCGAAGAGGAAGACGACGACGACGACCTCCAAGATGTCTTTGAATCCGACGATGACCTCGACTGCGAAGATGGCGGCGCCGACCTGACCAAGTCGTACAACCGCCAACAACATGGCGCCGGTGCTACCAACTCTCAGCAGTCCCAAGCTCAGGCCCAGCAACAAAAACCCACAGCCAACACGTCGGCCCGCGTCGACGACCAGATCGCCGCCCTCTCCAAGTTCGCCGGAAAGATCCGCATCGACGCCTTCGACAATGCCTCCGGTCCCGCTGAGCGCAGCAAAGACAAGTCCGACCGTGCCACCTCCGAACTCGTCCTCGACCAGCGCACGCGCATGATCCTGCTGCAGATGATCAACCAGGGCTTTGTCTCCGAGATTCACGGCGCCATCAGCACGGGCAAGGAAGCCAACGTCTACGGTGCCATCCTCCACCCCGAGGATGGCTCGGCCCCCATACACAAGGCCATCAAGATCTACAAGACGGCCATTCTGGTGTTCAAGGATCGCGAGAAGTACATTACCGGTGAACACCGCTTCAAGAGCGGCAGCGAAAAGGGAAACAACAGGAAGATGGTCAAGCTCTGGGCCGAAAAGGAATTCAGAAACCTGCGCCGTTTGTACACAGCCGGCATCCCCTGCCCGGAGCCCATCAAGCTTAAGCTGCACGTTCTCGTCATGAGCTTCTTGGGAGATCGCAAGGGCTGGGCCTACCCCCGTCTGCGCGACGCTCCCATCTCGGGCGACGACGCCGACGAGCAATGGCGCGACCTCTACATCCAACTCCTCGGCCTCATGCGCAAGTTGTACCAGGTCTGCCGCCTCGTCCACGCCGATTTGTCGGAATACAACATTCTCTACAACAACAAGAAGCTCTATATCATTGACGTTTCCCAATCCGTCGAGCACGATCATCCCCACTCGCTTGAGTTCCTTCGTATGGATATCAAGAACGTCGGCGATTTCTTCAGGAGGAAGGGTGTTGACACTTTGTCGGACCGCACAATTTTCGATTTCATCGTCAACCCCAAGGGACCGGTCGAGGAACCCGGTATGAAGGAGACGGTCGAACAGCTGTACCAGACGAGGGTGGAGGTGGAGGATACCGAGGAGGCCAGGGCCGAGCAGGAGGTCGACAACGAGGTTTTCAGAAACCAGTACATTCCCAAGACGCTGAACGAGGTTTACGATATCGAGAAGGATGTTGCCAAGGTGAACGAGGGTCAGGGAGAGGATTTGGTATATAAGAACCTATTGGCGGATCAAGTGGTGCACAAGATGGCGGAGGATCAGGAAGAGGAGGAGTCTGAGGAGGAGGAGGAGGAGGGCAGTGGTGACGAAGAGGAGGGTAGTGATGACGAGGATGACGAGAGCCGATTCGAAAAGGGAACACCAAGAGGCAAGAGGTTCATCGACAAGGACGAAAAGAAGCAGCACAAGGCGGCGGTTAAGGAGGCCAAGAGGGAGAAGAGGAAAGAGAAGATACCCAAGGCGATGAAGAAGAAGTTGGTGAACAGCACATCGAGGAGGAAGCACTAAGCTGTGGTCGTCTGCGGATATCCTCTTTTTTTTCTTTTTTCTTGGGGTTCTTTCTCCTGTCTTGTTTGCTTATGGGCTAGGGTATGGTTCTTATGGCGCTAAAGAATAATGGATCATGTCATCTTCCAGCCTGCGTATCCTGCTTTGATGCGTTTGGCGTTTCTCTCTTTCACACCTGACCCCATCCCGTTTAATCTGGGTACACTTGTAGCCATTATCCCTTGCGAGACAGACGGATGCGCAGCAAGAAAGGCAACCGGATGATGAAAGCACTAAAGCCTGCCCAGGAATGTCGTCTCCTCAAACGAGCTTGTAATGGTTTTGCCTCTCAACTAGGGCGAAGCCTCTTGCTTTCGAGTAGAGACCCCTTTCCGGGGGACAGGTCTGAGCCGCTGGCGAGCCACCTAAAGAGTGGTCGAACCGGGCTATGACGACCAAAGAGAGCACTGACGGTTTGCTTGTTGCTTTTGCTCCCATACTGGGTATCTTTCTATTCCATAGAGATTCCAGTGGTCTTTCTTTTACCTTCGAGACGTGCCCAAGACAAAAAAGGTACGTCTACTATCCGTTCCTCATTGCCCTTTCTTCATTTCTCTTTTTGTTCTCCCCTCACGCAAAGTTTCCCGTGGTGATATATCATGAGAGGGCCGGAGTTGCGCTGTGGCGGGAAGGACTCTCCAGGAGCGTCGGCGCTTCTTACCTTCAGTGGATGAAAGTGAAAGGCTCCATTACAAATCTTTTCCTGTTGACGGTCAACCTCAAAGCCATTTTAAGTTTTAGCTTGAATCTGGTAAGCGTTTCTGGAAAGGGCGCATTTTATCGTGGATGCGATCTGGGCCTTGTTGAAGTGGATGGAGTGCTGCAAGTCATCACTGCCCCGGTTGCCTATAAGAAATGATGCAGTTATGATGGACGGGAGTAACCAGATGAAAGGAAAAACGAAAATAACAAAAGGGAAGAAAAAAAAGAAGAAAAAAAGATCAGCCTGCCCATGCTCGGAATCGAACTCGGGATGAGTCAACTCTGGACGAGCACGGGTTAACGCTACAAAAATACCACGCATTTTCTGGACCATGTACACTACCACGTAGACTACTGGGCCGTGTTTGAAGGTCCGATTCTTCGGGCCTATATGGTCTCGGACGGTAGACGGAAGGAGGGTCCTGTCGCTGAGAAAGCCGGGGCCGTACTGGCGCCCTGGGGTCCGAATGGCCCAAGCTCCCGTTTCGGCCTGGCACTGACCCGACAACCGCAGCTCTGGTTTCACCCAGGAGCTGTTTTTGTTTCATCTTTCTTTCAGTGCTCGTATCATCAGCAGGCTTTTCATTATCTTCATGGACACTTCTTTCCTTCCATGAATTATATCCAAGGTAATTTACCATTAGCCCCAACATCAGCATCATCCAGCCCGACCTTCACCATTGGGACACCCGATTCATCCACGTCTCGCTAACAGCGCCAAGCCGCCAACTCGACAAACCCCTGAATCTGGACATTTCAGTCCAACCAACCATGATCACTCTGCAATTCAACATCACCAACATCAACAACACCATACATACCACTTCACTACCATCACCAACCCAATCCACCGCAGCTCAACATCAACCAACCATGGCATTCCCCTCTTCAACATCAGAACTCCCTCCCAAAATGCGCGCCTGGACACTCACCTCCGCCGGCCTCACCCTCTCCCCTTCCCACCCCCTTCCCGGCTCAGCCCCACCCACTGCCTCCTCCGCAACCACCCAGTCCCAACCAACCATCACGGGCAACAACCTCCTCCTCAAAATCACCCATGCGGCACTCAACCCCGTTGACTTGCACATCCTCCGCTTGTTCCCGCACTGGCTTCCCTTCCGTCGAAACCCCACGCCTGGATTCGACTTTTGCGGGCGAGTTATCGGCGCCGGACCTGATGTGGACGCCAACGAGTTCACAGTGAGCGACGTAGTCTGTGGAGCTCTGGGAGCAGGAGATGTCTTTTGGGGTAAAGGTTCGCTGGCCGAATACCTCCTCGTCTCTTCCTCACTGGTAGCCAAAAAGCCAAAGACATGGGGGGGACTCAACGGGAGGAATGAGGTGAGCGGGGAAGAAGCAGTGGGGTTGTTTGGCATCGCGGGACAAACTGCCGTTCTCATGGTCCAGACTACTGGTGTCGCATCAGATGCCGACTGGAAGGGGAAGCGATGCCTGGTTAATGGCGCTAGTGGCGGCGTGGGGAGTATTCTCACGCAGATTCTCAAAGGAAAGGGGGCAGAAGTATGGGGGACTACAGGTTCTGCGGAGGGTGAGGAGCTGGTGACGCAGTGCGGAGGGAAGGTGGTTAATTACAAGGATCATCACCCCGTCACTGCGCACTTGGCCGAGCTGTTTGGGGAGGATAAGTTGGATTTCATCTTTGACTGCGCAGGAAGCCAGGATATGTTTTCTCAATCGCCGGCGTATTTGAAGAAGGAGGGGAAGTTTATCAGTATTGCTGGAGGACCATCGCAGGGTGTTGTTCCCTATGTCAAGAATAAATTGAGGCCCGTGTGGTTGGGTAGGACGCCGAGGGAGTTTGAGTTGTTGTTGTTGATCCCCGGAAAGAAGACTGTCAGGGAGGTGGGGAGGTTGGTGGAGGAGGGGGTTCTTGAAAGGGGCTTGGTGGATGGTGCGGTTTGGGAGATGGAGGAGTTGGTGAAGGCTTATGAAAGGTTGGGCAGTGGAAGGGCGAAGGGAAAGGTTGTTATCAGGGTGGGGAAGTAGGACAAGCCGGGGTCGGTATCGAGGTGCCGCACGACAGTCGACGAGAAATCACAGAAGCAACAATCAAAAAGTTCACAATGAGTTTGGACCAAAGCAGCTCAGGACTATGGTGTGATTTCATTACTGTTATCAAATTAAGATCCGTCAATATCGTCCATATCGTACACCTCATGATTCATTATCCTCCCCATCATGCATTCGCATTTGCCAGGCCCATGTTTCGAACGAGATAACTCCGTGCTTCCCATCGTCGAATGGTTCTTTCGTGAACTCTGAGCTTACTCGAGGCCGTCAAGCTTCTTCTTGGCGTGCTCCTTGGCCTCGTCGGACACATTGGGGTTGTTGAGGGTGGCCTTGTATCCTCCCGCGACGTTTCCGGGATTCTTCTCGCCGTCGTCGGTGGTGGTCTTGCCCGAAGAAGACTCATCGTACGCCTCGCCAGCGTTTTCGAGCACCTTCTTGGAGTGCTCCTTGGCTTCCTCAGACACATCTGTGATATTTCTGGTTAGTCATGGATTGTGGGACTTGGATGGATGTATTATGACAAAAAGGAAATGTCGACTAGGGATGGAAGCTGGAGGCGGAGGCGCTGAGCAGGATACGTACTAGGGTTGTGAAGGGTGGCCTTGTGTCCGCCAAGGACGTTGTTGGGGTTCTTGTTCTCGAAGTCGGACATATTGGCTGATTTTTGTTTATGGTTGGATTGGAAGAGGTTGGTTGTTTGTGGGTGATGTCTTGGGAATGAAGTGTGTTTGCTTGGTTGTCTGGTCTGCTGGAATATTGTGAGGCAGTTGATGGGAGCAAGAGACCTTTATATACCTTTTCTCGCCCCAGTTGGCCATCCCATAACCTTCTACTTTTCCATCCAAGTCATCCTACCTGACAAGTCATGAAACAGCCCGGAGTAATCTCTCCCCGCGTTCCTGCAATCCGATGTTAGGTTGTTTGTTCGCTCCTGGCTATCGATGATGCTGCCAGCACCGTCATGACGTACCTATCCACCGGCACTTTGCATTCTAACCAGCGCAAGACACTCACTCATCCCTTCCTTTTGCACATGGGCAAACGAAATATTGACTCATCATATCAATAAATGATCAATTCCTAACACAGTACGGTGGGAATGATCCCAATGTAGACGCTGAAATAGGTAGTGAGGCTTCCTTCCTAGTTAGGCGTGAATTAGTGTATAGATCGGAATGTGAATCGTGGCAGAAGTGGGACGGGTCGATCCGCGTCCGGTGGAGCCCTCAAAGAACAAACCGAATGCATCGAACACCATCGATCGCCAATACGATCGATGCGATTTCCCCAGGAAATCAGAAACAATCAGAAACAGATTCCCATTTGGGAAAGGATGCACGACGTCACGCAATATATTGGACAGTGCACATGATGCTACTCTTGACAGATGGAAAGAAAAGAAAAAAAGGGAAGAAAGCCGCAAAGGTTCGTTTGGTGATGGTTTGCCGGTGGCTTGCTCCTCGATGATCGGAGATGTAATCGCTTCCGTCATCCATATTTTGAGTCTTTGAGGCTCAGCTCAACAAAATGGGAACGAAATAGCCCGTCCAGTGCCGAGGGAGGAGACATAAAAACACCGACCCACTGATTGTTTAACCACCTCTCATGAACTCACCTCTATACCTAATTTTGTGATAGCCCAATCAAACAACCTACTTTCACCCAGTCATCAAGACCAACCTTACGACCTTCACATACCTCTACACACAATAACCGCCCACAAACCACCAACATGTCCAGCGCCAACTTTTCCAACGAGGCCCCTTCCGGCCAAGTTAACGACCCCTCCTACAAGACCAAGGGCACAGAAGCCGTTCCCGTCATTGACGACAACGCGCCTGTCGAAGATGGGCTTCTTCCAGAGGAGGCGGACAGCGATCGTCAATTGGGTACGTCTTCAGATTCTCTCTCCCTTCTCCCCGTTTCCATGAAGAGCCTTGGTGAATACAAACCATGATAGAGGGACGGACGCTAATGAATCCGTGAAAACAGCCAGGGATGACACTGAAGCCATCGACGAGTCCAACATCATCGAGGAAAAGACGAGACACGCCAAGCCCAAGGGAACGTACCGGGAGCCAAGCGATGAGGAGCTGGGGTTGAATGAGTAGATGACCCGTGGTCTCATGGGGTTTCCCGCAACCTTGGGAGTTGGTAGACAAACGGATGACATGACTTTATGATGGATTGGTTTCCTTTCATTCGGCGTTTCGGGACGGGAATGAGTTTGATTGATGACTTGACTGCAATTGGTCAGGATCAACTTCTGGGACATGGAATGGACCTAGGTACTCGCTGGCTACCAGATCTGACCAAAGTTTTGGATAAACAAAAAACCATGACCTAATTTGAGTCAATAGAGTCGAGGTGTTGCTCTGTGATTCGTACATCTGATCGCGCACACTTGTCCGAGTTCGTTCTTGTCATAACGCGATCCGCGGTGTTCGTTGACACATCAAAAAACCTCCAACGCCATTTCGAGTAAGGACATGACGGCGGTGGACTCCGGCTGGGCGCGTTAATTGAAACTTGAGAAGTTGCCAAGCGGTGATGATGCCAAGCTCAAGTGGAAGTTTGTTTTCATCAACGAAAGCTCACAGAGTCGCAGCGTCCCCCATTCAAGGAGAAGGAAACCTAACTGATGATCTCATACCTTATCGATAAGCCCGCCGCGGTGGAAGGAATCCAATCCCCACTCTTTCTAGGTCCGAACCGTCCCAGGCCCACAGGTGGGTAGGTACCTAAAGTTGGGGTTACCTACCCCGTCGGCCAGCAGCGGTTCCCCAACCCGCCGAGATGGCGGAAAACAACGGCAGATCGACACAAGACAAACACCCGCCTGGAGCTCTTTGAGGGGCTGGCTGGAGAGATGCAGAGCAGTGCAGTGTGCTTCATGTTGTTTCGTTGCTTGCTGTCCGTCTTCAGTTGTTCTGTTCCTGTCTGTGGACCCTTCCATACAGTGAGACGTGAAAGGAGCCGTGTCGACATGTTTTCTGTGAACTGATTCTACAAGTAATAATTTCCACATTCTACAGTAGACTTATGTCACTCTACAAAAGATGTAAGTATCTCCAAATGTCTTGTCTCTTTAACCAACCACCAATCACTCGATACCTATCTTCAGTTATCATTAGGTACCTAGGTAACACCTCCCGTCACTCACCTGCCGTTAGAGGTATGAGTTGCAACTGAATGCTTCACCGTCCAGTCAGCTACTTATGCACGCCGCTCAGCTGTGAACTCTCCTTGCTTTATCTGCCTGCTCTCGTTGGTCAATTCCATTGAACGGCATGTCACGAGACGACCACAATAGGAAAGAGCGAGGGGGGGGGGGGGCTTAAGCCGAACCGAAGTTGCGCAAGACCCCTTGTCTTCTTTCTTGTCACAATAACGAACTTCTCTCTCACGTGCTTTCCCCGATCAAATAAATACCATTTGGGTGCCGTTTTTTACTATTGTCAGGGTGTTACTGTTACAACATCATCACCATCACCAGAAAAGTCCCTCCGGTCTTTCGGAGTTCATCTTCAGTTCAAGTTATCAAACCTACCTTGACCCTTGTCCCATCCCATCTTTGGAAATCCGGGGAAAATCGTGGGGTACACTAGTAGCGCGTGCGGTGTCTCGGTAGACTTGAGCCGAACTCGTCCAAGTCCCCCTCACATACCCCGCTCCTGTCTCAGGATTGAAACCACTGCATTTCATCCCATCACGACTTGCATTGCTTTCCCTTACCTTCAACTAATACCGACTTCGTCTGCTTGGGCCATATTCTCAAGCACCGGCAGAGTTCTTCAACTTACCGTCAATCATCGGCATCTCTAACCGATCGACCTCGACATCATCATCATCATCATCATCATCATCATCATCAACACCATTGGGACTTACCAAGTCAAACAACACCTCAAAGACAACCACTCCCCCATCAACCCTTATCCTCTTCCAGCAATACCAACAACAAACCCGCCGCCTAACCACCACCAAAATGTCCTCCCAACCACCACCCCTCACTCAACCCACCACCTCTTCTTCTTCTTCTTCTTCTTTATCCGACATGTACACCACCTCCTTCGCCTTCTTTGAAGCCCTCTTCGCCGCCGGCGTCTCCCATGTCTTTGTCAACCTGGGCTCCGATCACCCGTCCATCATCGAAGCCATGGTCCGCGGCAAGGCCTCCCCCTCCACCTTTCCGCGCATCATCACCTGCCCCAACGAAATGGTAGCCATGTCCATGGCGGACGGGTACGCACGTTTGACGGGTCAACCACAGGCAATTATCGTGCATGTCGATGTTGGCACGCAGGGGTTGGGTGCTGCTGTTCACAATTCCAGTGCGGGAAGGGCTCCCGTTTTGGTGTTTGCGGGCATCAGTCCGATTACGATCGAGGGAGAGCTGAGAGGGAGTAGGACCGAGTATATCCATTGGATCCAGGACGTTCCGGACCAGAAACAGATTGTGGGGCAGTATTGTCGGTATGCGGCGGAACTGAAGACAGGAGTGAATGTCAAGCAAATGGTGAACAGGGCGTTACAGTTTGCCAAGAGTCAACCGCAGGGGCCGGTGTACTTGTGTGGTAGCAGGGAGGTGATGGAGATGGAGATCCCCAAGTATGAGTTGAACCAGGCACACTGGAAGCCGGTGGAGCTAGGGGGATTGTCTAAGGGGGCGGTGCAGGAAATGGCGGGTGCGTTGGCGGGTGCGAAGAAGCCGCTTGTGGTGACGGGGTATGCGGGGAGGAACCATGCTATCCCGCCGGCACTGGTTGAACTCGCCAACACGGTCAAGGGTTTGAGGGTGTTGGATACGGGTGGTAGTGATATGTGTTTCCCTGCTAATCATCCGGGCTGGTTGGGGTTGAGGTTTGGCAATGATCAGTCTGTGGCGGAGGCGGATGTCATTCTCGTGCTGGACTGTGATGTGCCATGGATCCCGACACAGATGAAGCCCAGCAAAGACGCGAGGGTATTCCATGTTGATGTTGACCCCTTGAAGCAGGTCATGCCCGTGTTCTACCTGGAGGCGGAAGCGAGGTACAGGGCTGATCCGTTGACGGCTGTGGAGCAGCTGACGGAGAAGCTAAAGACTGATGAGGAGTTGAAGAAGCAGTTGCAGAGTGAACAGCGCGAGAAGAGGTGGAAGGAGCTCCAGGCCCAACACAAGCAGAAACTGGAGGAGATTGCCGAAAGAGCAAAGCCCCTGGAGAACGGAGAGTATGGCACTGGTCACCTGTGCAGGAGGTTGAGGGCCCTGTGCCCCGAGGATACCATCTGGGCGATTGAGGCTGTCACCAACACTCTGTTTGTGCACGACAACATCCAGCCTACGCTGCCGGGGTCGTGGATTAACTGCGGTGGGGGTGGTCTCGGCTGGTCTGGCGGTGGTGCCCTTGGTATCAAGCTGGCTACCGAAGTCGAGGCTAAGGTCAAGGGAGGAAAGGGTAAGTTTGTCGTGCAGATTGTGGGCGACGGCACGTTCCTGTTCTCGGTGCCGGGAAGTGTATACTGGATCTCCAAGAGATACGGCATTCCCGTCTTAACCATCGTTTTGAACAACAAGGGTAGGTTATACCTCCGTTTTCTCCGTTCATCGCATCTCGAAACTAACACAAGAGACAGGATGGAACGCCCCTCGCCGGTCTCTGCTTCTGGTCCACCCCGACGGACTCGGGTCCAAGGCTTCCAACGCAGACATCAATATCGAGTTCAGCCCATCGCCTGATTATGCGGGCATCGCCAAGGCGGCTGCGGGTGGTGATTTGTTTGCGGCCAGGGTCGACAACACGGCGGATCTGGATCGGGTGTTGAAGGAGGCCATTGCCGCGGTGGAGGGGGGACAGAGTGCCGTGGTAGACTGCAAGGTGACCATGGGATCTTAGTTTGCATCCACGTGTTCTTTTTGAAGCCGGGGAGTGCCGTTGATGGTGGATTGAATCTGTCTTGCGAGAAGCAATGGCGTCGTCCGTCTCTTGGCAACGGCAATTCGCCGGATTCTCCCTCGAGTTTTGGTCTGATGGCATGTTTGGTGACATAGTCTGGTTGTACCGGTGTTTAGCTCTATGCCATGTTAGCGGGTTTGAGTCGGTGTCGGAATAGTTTGCGAGTAAAGTCGAGACAGCTGTTCAAGTGGCGCCTCTTGTGAATTATAACCCCATGTCGCCAGGTCGATGTGTTGGAAAGGAGGATGCCGTGGGTGCGATCCGAAGGTGACACGATACTACCCCTTTCCATCTCTGCACTCGAGCTGTTCGTCCCGTGTTGTATCGTGATGCTCTCCGGAACATACGATCGAGGGGAGTTCGACCCCCCGTCCGAACACTGCCTTGCTATGACACGTGCTCGTGTCTTTTTGCGGTGATTCCTGCATATATGTATGCTTCATGTCGTGCTTCCTCGTCCAAATAGCTGCGCGTCTGTCGTCAACTGCCCCCGTTCCCTTGATTGGACCACCTCGTGATTGCTGGCGCCATAGCCATCATTGTTGCGCCCTCCATCTTTTCCCGAACTCTCCCAACCACTGACCAAGTGACGGAGCAGGGGTCGGCAATCTTCTTCGCCACCGTCTGCGCTGATCATCGGTACCCCAGAGGTCCCAAGGGGTCTCGAACACGGCGATTCATGCCTCGTGATTTGGTTGCGAGTCAACAAGGTGTGCAACAGGTTGGGGAGGGAGCTGTCCCATTGGCTGTCGCAACGCCGATTCGCTTGTCGACATTGAGAAAGGGAAGAGACAAGGCGGGATGACGGTATATGGTGAGTGTCGATCCTCTTTCGCTGCATCTGTTTTGTCGTCTGGAAGGGGAACAGTGACATCTGAGAAATCATTTGGCAATTGGATAAATTTTGGGTCACTCCGCTGGGCTGAAGAAAAACGAAGAGTTGATGCACGGACCCCTTGATGTTCTGCAGCGGGGCGGGGTCGAGGATAACCTACAAGAACTGAAAGAAGTGACAAGACTGGACAATGACAGCGGCAGTTGGCGCTAACAATTAAACAAGAATCACTACCGTAGGTATCCCGCATCTTCTTCCTCCTCCTCCGTGTCCATCTCTTCAACTGCCCCCTCGCCCGCGCCGCGCTCATCCGACCCGAGACATTCTCCATCCCTAAACGAATCCAACATACCATCTCCTCAGCTGAACACCAAACTGCCACCGTCGCTGGAGATTACCGTGTTTTCTTCTGGTCGACATAAACACCCGACTTTACAAAATCCCAGTCTTCAAGCCGACCGGAAGCGGCGCCGGGATCAACCAAGGCCTTCGACTGGCCCCGCCCCATAACTCGAACGACCTACCTATGTAGTCGCCGCCTCCTCCACTGGAGACATCCAGCTGACGAGACCTGGACACTTGCTGGAGTCCAGCAACTCCGCTGACAAGGAACAGCGGCATCAACGACTCCATCGTGTCCATGCTGCCCTGGCGACGCTAGCAGCCGACGGACGATACCACCTAAAATAGCGGCGATAGCGGCCAAATCAGTAGCGCGCCAAGTTGAAGACTTGCGGCGAAGTACAGGCGAGACCCTGATCTGATCAGCCAGACAAGCGATCGCCCGTCACGTCGTCCTTGAATTCCAAGGAAGTGACCGACACATATAAGGAAACACGAGATCATGAGATTGCGTGTCGCACGTCGTGGCAGGATACACAATTTGTCCTTTTTTCGACACCCGCCGTGGCCGAGCTGAGATACCGTACTTCCTTTTGGAGAGAAGAGCGTTGACCGGGGACATCTACCACACGACCGACGGAAGTCCTGTCTCCGAACTGCTGCGACAGGGAACCGCCTGTTGACTGCACGAGCGCAATTTCCTCGTTCGACCGAGACGACTCCAGTTCTTTTCTCAACACCACGACCGACTGACTACCTACTTACCCACAAACCTCAACCTACGACGACCTGCGAACATCTTCACCTCGACAACGTCACCTTGCGACTATACCCTCTGTCGTCAATACACCTTCGTCGCCACAGATCGACAAATTACTCATTGTTGTGTCACGCGACCAATTCCAGTCCCACCTTTGCCAGTCGCTTTCGTCGCGCGCACCATTCACAAAGCTCGCTCCTTTTTTTGCTACCTTTCGATATCATTGTCCTTTCGACGATACCTAAGTGAACGCAATCGAATCGCATTCCATATATCCAACATGTCACCCAATCCCGAACACGGGGCTCCGGCACCTACCGACCCTCCTCCGGCTGCTGATACTGAACAAAAGTCCGACTCGAGCGCCCCGGCGACGCCTCCCCCGGCACCCGTCCCTTCAGCCGACCCAAAGCTCTTCCGACAAATAACACAATCACATACCGGCGAGTCCGACCAAGATGTTGACGATATCTACAAAGTCTCCCCCTTAGCCGCCCTCAAGCTCCTCAGCGCTGGCATCGAGACCCTCGTTTCCTTCACAGGCGACATCCCGCCCACGCCGCCCCCACGATCCCCAACCATCCCCCATATGCGTGGCATGGACGCCGAAAAACAGAGCATCGTACGGTCTAATTCCGAGAAGAACCTGGCCAGGCTTTTGCAGCAAAAGAGCGCGACCAATTCCCCACGGAGACCCTTCAGCCCGGCGCCACAACGGCACCCGCACCCACCTCCCTCGAGAGAAGGGCACAAACAATCCCAGTCAATAGACGGCGTCCAACTCCGCACTCCCAACCCAACCCCACCGCCCGGTCTCTCGTCCAGCGACGCAAAGTCGGCCCTTGAACCCTACATCATCGTCGGCGAGAACTCCCAACCGCTCAACACCCAACACTCGGCCATAACCCGCAAATTCTACTCGCGATTGCCTCCCCCAATCTCCATTACCGACTACCTCCTGCGCATCCACCAATACTGCCCCATGTCCACGGCCGTCTACCTCGCCGCTTCTCTGTACATTCACCGCCTGGCCATCATTGAGCGCGCCATCGTCGTCACCAAGCGCAATGCGCATCGCCTACTTTTGGCAGGCATACGAGTCGCCATGAAAGCCTTGGAAGATCTGAGCTATCCGCACTCCAAGTTTGCCAAAGTGGGCGGAGTTAGCGAGACGGAGCTGGCGAGGTTAGAGATTAGCTTCTGCTTCCTGGTCGGATTTGAGCTGAGAGTGGACGAGGAGGCGTTGAGAGGCCAGTGGGAGATGCTAAAATCTGGTGTCGAGGCGTGGGAGGGTGTTGAGCATGACCTTTATGGGAAACGAGAGGTGATTACATTGAGGAATCCGCCCCCGGGGAGGGAGGGGATGCAGGCGGAAGCTGCTGCCGAGGCGTGAGAGGGCTGGAGAGGGAGAGTGGAAGGGTTTCTGTTTGGGTTGTGGCATTAAAAAAAATAATCTTGACGTTGTTTTCGGGCGTAATATCAGGAGTGGGAAGTCAAGGCCTGGTGTTCGAAGCGGCATCCTTTGCCAGCACAGGAGGACATCAAACCCCATGTCGTACACGAGCAAGGGCAAAGAGCAAACCGAATGGCTTGCTTGAGCCAGGATAGGTGTTACAACACCTGAACGGTTGACATTTTGCCTTTTATCTTTTTGTTTTCTTTCCTTGCTTGGAAGCATATCTTTAGCATGGTCTTGCGAAGGCCCGGTGGCCAGCTACAAGTCAGCGAATGGGGGCGGTGCCTGACTGACTGCCTGCCTACCTGCCGGCCTTTCCCTGGAGTGATACCCTATCCCTACAAATATGAAGTATCATTTCTTCTTTTCGGTTCCATTTACCTTACATGAACACCACATCTTTGCACCTGCTCATTATACAAGCGATCATGCTTCGCTTCACCTTGATCTAGACCTGGTCCAGGCTGGGTTACTCCAGAGCAACCCAAGGAGGCATGTCATCTTGTCAGATATCGCTCGCTTATCGCCGGCATTTGGCTGTCTGCCGTCTGACCAAAACGACTCCCGACATCACAACCTTTTTGCCAACACAGTCAGGATCAACACCAGGACTTGCAAACTGGCTCGTCAATGCGGTTTTTGCAAATTTCATGACTGTTCCTTTTCTAGCTATCAATGTCCATTACTCCTCTAAGATCCCTTTTCCCCTTTAACATTCAAACCATCACCTCGAATCTCCCTGTTTTCCCCACCATCTACGCTAGAGGTAGCGGTAAGTACCTATTGACCGTTTTGCTCGCCGACATATACGCAAAGTCCAGCGACCGAATTAATTCTCACCCGCAACCATCTTAACATATCTCTCCAACACCCCATTCCTGCCCATCTTATCCATAACCGTCTTGCTCGTAATCGCCTCCGTCTTGTTGGCAAACATGGTGCTATTAGCCATCATGCCCCGCTGACGCAGCACACTCTTCATCGTCTTGTTCTGCACCTGCTCGGCGGCGGCCATCTCAGCGCGCTTCGCCATCTGTTGGATGCCCGAAAGCATGTCGTCGCCGAGCATCTTGATCTTGCGCTTGGATGCGTCGGCGCCGCCCGTCGTGACATTGTCAGCGGCAGTAGCGGTGGCGTTCATGAGATCCTGATACGAAGCCAAAGCGTCATTGAGAGCCTGGAGGGACGCAACCAGGTCCGTGCCATCAGAGGTGGTAGTAGCGGCGGGGTCGACAGCAGAGGTGGAAGAGTTGCTGAAGAGGGTGGTAGTGTTGCCCAGGTACGGGTCTACGAAAATTTGGGGAGTTCCAGTGCTCAAGGGCATAGGCACAACAACAGAGTTAGGGAGTTGTTGCGCGTAGCGAATAGCGGCGTCGATCATCGCCTGCGCTTGTGCGTCACTGACGAAGGCGTCGTCGACGGAAAGAACTTTGTCGTTGTTGTCGGCGTCGGCGTCGGCGTCGAGACGGGTGGTGGTGGTGGCAGTACCGGTCGTCAAGGGGGGGCTCACGCCGGTAAGGCTGGAGATGGCGGCGTCGACGAGGTCATCATCGTCACCGTTGTCTTCTGAAATGGACTGCACGCCTTGGGTCCCAGTGAAGTCGTTTTGCTCCATGGGGAAGGTGGGAGTCACGGCGGGGACGCGGTAGATGTCGTAGGGGTCGGCGGCCGCGAGGGCGTCGGCGGAGGCGGAAGACGTGGTGGTGTCCTCGATGGGCTCTTCGCCAGTGATGCCGGGGAGGACGTCGCTGATGACGGCGTCGGTAGAGGTGGTGTCGTCGGCCTGGCGTTTGTGGGCGGGAGCGGCCATGGAGAGCGAGGCAAAGGTGGCGACAAGGGTGGTGGAGAACTTCATCTTGACGGCTGGGTGGGTTGGGCTTGGCCGGTGAGGGGATGAAAATGAAGATGATGATGAGGCGGTGCTTGAAGGAAGGTAAGGACAGATTCAACGGTGGTATTTATCTTCGTCGTCCAAGAACTAGAGACCAAAGCGCTCATCACAAGTAAATGGCAGCATTGCTAACGACGGTCACAACAAAAACAAATCTCATCACGGACAGCATTCCTTCACTTGAGGATCGACGACAGTGGTTTCGAAGGAACCTGTCTACGGGGAATGGGGCCGAATAATCGGGACCAATTGCGTTATCATCCTATCAAACGCTGGCTTCGAGGAAAGGCCATGACATTTCTTTGCACACGGGAAGAATTGTTTTGGTATTTACTATGGCGGCGGTGATGGACTGTGGAATGTACGGTGGCTGCTGGAAGACATACCGGAGAGAATTGGATGTGCGATACTGGTATGGACTAAGGTGAGCATGTGAGACATCAACAACGATGTTCAGCTTATTCACGCTCTTGAGTGAAATGGAAATTTGGGAAGTCATGCAGTTGGCGAAATTGTGAATCGAGGCTTATTCTGGCATGACCTCTACACCGAACAGATCGCGAACGGATGGCGTGCCCAGGTTCATGAATCCAGCTCCGTACCGGAGTCAGGTAATTTGAAGAGCAGGGTTTTTGCACCAGATCTTGTTAAGCAGCATGGACCTGTTCAAACTGCCGCTTCCGAGGTACGACGTAGTTCATGATTCATTCCCAGAATATCTCCTCCGAGGTTTCGGAACAAATAGAGCTGTGCTACGGGTCTGAGGTATCGTGTTATCTTCAACAGACTGTTTTTAGCTCCCAAACACGCACATATTACCCCGTTTACCTGCGGGTATGTGATGTCAACATTGCTTCTTGAGATGGAGGTCTTCCCGGTGATAGGTTCGGCTGAGTGATGGGGCAGGTATGGCCGACGGGACCGTTGGTTTGTGGCATCTCAAGGTCGATTTCAAGTTAGACAGAGGTGCTTGCTCCTGCTGCGACTGTATCCCAGCAGCCTCTTGTGAAGAAAGGATAAAGGCAAGAACATCTGGTGATGGACGTGATAACAGACGATATCTGATATCAACCGCCAGATTTGGACAACTGTGGAAGTACTGTGTCTGTCGTCAGTACCTGTATTCCCCGTCCTTCAGGAGATTTCTTCCACCCTGAGAACCCATAGCAGGGAACCTCTACTTCGCCTACTCCCAGTGACTTGATCTAGAGCCGGTCTACCTATCTCAAATTCTTCACTAGTCAGTTACGATGTCGACTCTTGCTTCCTTCTTTTTGCTCCTTGTCCTCAGCCTGGCCACGACCTGCTCCGCCATGCCTGGTGCCTCTAACTCGACCGGCTTGAACAACTACACCATGTCCCTTGGGCAACTCTCAGCGCAACAAGCTCTCTGCAGTTGTGACGACACTCCATGCCCAGAGAAGAACACCGTCTGCATGAACGGGTATGCTCCTCCCTCACCCTGTCCTTCAGTCCATCCCAATAACTGACAGCCTACCTATCCCAAACAGAGCTTGCACCTGCATCCACCACGAAGGCTGCCGCGCCAACTCTGACCGCCATTGCCCAAAACAAACGAGTTGACTGCAGAAAAGTGTTGACGCACTGCCCGTATGCCACGACGCCCTATTGCTCGCTGGACGATGAGGTAAAGTTTCCGGATGGCCAGTGTATTTGCCAACCGACGATGTGCGATTGCTCGAGGGTGTCGTGTCCTGACGATGGGTATTTGCAGTGTAAGGAGCCCGGGAAATGTAAATGTTGGACTTGAGGAGGGACTGTCGTGTTCTGGTGCAGTTACTACACTATCAAATCTGGGCGTGGCTTTCATCGAGATCAGATAAGGTCGCATCTTAGTGGGATGGAGGGGCAGCCCGCACTGGCCACCTGTTGCTATGTCTTTCCATCCGTTCGCTCAGTTTGATTTTCCCTTCTTCCAAATACAACAACAATGTGAATCAACCCGTCTTTCGCATTCCACCAAACCAGGCCTTCGCGTGCTTTGCATCGCGCCCTCCAGTTGTCGCTGGAATTTCACACAATGTCCATCCGTGTAGTACTCGATCTACCGGTATGCGGACGCAGGCGAGCTTCCCGTCGCTCTCGGCGGAGGGCTGAGTTGATTCGCTAACAGGATCGCAGCAAATTCACCAACAATCACGTTAATGTCGCATCGGTCTTTATTGCTCGACAAGTCCATCTCTTCCCCGATGCCCGCCCAACGCCAAGCGACCGGTCAACGAGCCCAAAGACAGCGTCTGGAGTGGGTGTAGCGCTCGTTTGCGCCATTGGCCGACGACAGCAGCAACATCACGCAGCACGTATCGAAGCAGATCAAGACTGAAAATACCAGGCTGCGGCACGTCATCAAGAGGGATCCTGGGTGCTTGGTTCGTTCGCCAGTCACTGTGTAGGCCGAAATATGCTGTGATGACGGCTACACAGCTGGAGCAGCAGAGAGGTCACCGAAGATCCCTCGCTGGACGGTGAAGTGCAAACTCAGCACCTCGGGGAGGCCTACCTACCAACACATCATTCTCTCAGAGCCTCGGACCACCAGAGCCAGCCGGTCTCTTCTACCTACCAAGTTACCTACAAGTACCAACTTCCCGTCCCGCCACGTCTTGACACCAAGAGGGTCCTACACCATATCCCGCTTTAGCAGTCCCGCCTGTCCCGCCCTTCGGCACCTGGGCACACAGCTGGGCTAACACTAGTTTCTACCACTCCGGACGCTTCCCGCCCGGGTCCTGACTGCCAGGTTCGGTAGCAAAGGGTCTACACCCTCAACCTGGTTGCTCCAGTCATATGGCACTGGCCACATGATCCCATGCGGGACATCTTGTCTCACCTTGATAGAGTTAGCGGGTCATGATGTGTGGTTGGTCAACATCATGCGGCGCGGTGCCGGTATCACTGAGTAGCAAGATGATAGGAGTGTTAAAAGACCTCAGTCCCAGCCTTCCAGTTTGTCTCAGGGCCGGCAGCTTTACAATGGTGGACGTGGGAATCGGTAGAGCAGGTTGAAACCCGCTGGGTCGGTTGATATAGTCCGGCCTGTCTCACTTTTCGGACTGAGACCCGACAACACGCCCAAGTTTCAGAGAGACGAGCCTCAAGAATACCCTCAAAAAGACCACCAGGAAGCATGGAGATCCTCGCCATCCTCAAATACGGCAAAAGAAATTTGCTTCCTCGCCTCACCCAATCTTTCTCCCGATCAGTACACACAGCGACAGCCACTCTGTCCCTCGTCACCAAGCACAATACCAACAACCAAATCTCAGCCTTCGACACCGCTCCCACTACCATAACCCCTCAAAATCACCAGCTTCTCCCCCGCGACAGCGCCCCTCTCTCCTCCACCGCCCTCCTCGGCGCAGTCCTTGGATCTATCTGCGGCTTCATCTTCTTCGTCATCTGCTGCTTCTTTTACATCCGATTCCGCGCCTGGAGTGATACTACGATGACGGCTAGTAGTAGGCGAAACCGATGGAGAAGGGCTCACTATTACCACGATTCATCGTCGTCGAGCAGCACGAGTGATGGTTCGACGAGTGCGAGCTCTAGGACGTTACCGAGGGATGTTGAGATGGGAGAGGCGTGGTGGCCTGGGGCTGGAGTAGCAGGAGGTGCTCAGAGAGGGTATGGCTATGGGCAGAGTAATATGTATGGGCGGGCTCAGACACAAGCACAGATGGGCTATGGGGTAGGCTTCGAAGGAGGAGCCACAGGAGGGAATGTACCTCTAGGCTTCGGAAATGTTGCGACGGCGTACGGACCGGGAGTGGCGCAGGCGCCGAGGGTGCCACCTGTTGCTACGACGAAGTGGTCTCCTCATGTTTTCAGGCAGGGGAACATGTGAGAAGAAGGACAAAAAGAAAAGAAAAAAGGCAGGGCTGGATTGGTGATTTTCTCGATGGACGCGGATGGTTCATCCAGATCAAACACCATGTTTTTGTCCTTGCTGGGCAACCCAGCTCACACGTCGTTGACGTTTGAAGGTGTGTTGTTTGCCCTTACAACAGCGATTTTCAAACAAGAGCTGACCATTGGATACCGGCTACCGGGAGCAAGATATCGATCTACATACCAAAAGTGGATGCTTTTGTTGCTTCTGCGTCTTCAAGTTTTTGCACGTGCGCTCTTAAACTTCATGACCCGACTGCACGAGAAAAGGGGCCATTGTGGAACTTTTGCTATTCCCGAGTTCTCGTCACTTTCCTTCTGCTCAGTAGCAGGCAATTTATGCGCTGTAGCCTTCTACACGATCACTAACTTGTATCGTCGTCCCGAAGTTCCACCATCAAAGGATGGCGGATAAGCATGAAAGTTCTGGGTTTGATTCCTGGATCACGATTACCACGAGGGAAACTTGACCACCAACCCTCGGCCTTCGCGAACCCCATAACCGCCCGGTATTCGTCTCGGGTTGTTGATCCCCCACTCATCCAATGCCCGCATACAGTAGTGTAGTGCATGATGACATTGTGGATCAGTTTTTCTTTTTCCTCTCCCGCCGCACTGGCGCCTCGGCGAGACGGGATCTAACAGATGAAGAAAAAGAAAAGAAGAAAGTTTCGTGGGCTGTCTAACTGCAGGGTTGGTTGGGGAACAAGAACAGAGAAAAAGGCTATGGTAAAGTGAACACTACCATGCCCCCTGAGTCCTTGTTCTCAGCTCGTCGCAGCCAGTCAGTCGCAAATCCCATACCCAATCGGGTCTCGCGCTCCCGAACCGGGTCCAGTTCCATTGGATCTGTAGGAGATACGCTTTTCCTCATCGGGGGATAGCGGGTGGAAGCTGTGTAGATCTCTCGAGAGAGGGGCACCTCGGGGGCGAAGTATTGGTGAGAGGTACGAGATCTTGAGGGTTAGTATCATGAATTTCATGAATCTCGAGGTGAAAGATGAGTATCTCTCAAGTCAGCGGCCTCCTGTACGACTTCGGGTAAGGTAACTTGGGTAGCTCCCGTCTGACAACCGGTCTTTTTCTGTCGTTGTTAACCATATCTGTCCTCCACTCACAGTTTACTCCGCTTATCCCACGATGTTTTGTGATTGGATCAACACGCCAGAAGCCCGAAAGGACTGGCCTCAGGGTTGTTCAGATACCTACCTGGGTGACCCCGGTGGCGGACCATTGTTCGACGCTGCCGACCACCGCTAAGATCCCAAGGGTTCACGACAGCTGGGACAGGCTTGGTTTCCCTCCCGTCCTCCGTTCTTTTTCCCATCCATACCTAGCTGCGCAAGTTTCAGTTCCCCAGTTCGCGGAGTTTGTTCCTGGCATTAGCTCAAAGTGCAATTCCCTCGGTCTATCTGCGCATCATCCACCATCAGCAGCCGTTTTCCAAGGTTGCGCGCGGCGCCTGAGTGGGCATTCATAATATGACCTGAGCAGAGTGCGCCTTCACCAGTCAGTTGTGTGTCTGCTGGGTCGGGTCTCCAGCTCTATCAAGAAAACACGCAGACAGACAGACACAACCACAAACCCGCGATGGAGTGGTTGTCCGAGTTCCACACCCACTTGTGGAAAAGGGCAGCGGAAGAATTGAACAAAAATATCAAATTCATAGTAGGTCCTGTTGTCTTTCTTTCTTTCTTTCTGTCGTCGTCTGTCTTTCCCGCACGTTCATCCCGCTTGCGCTCTCGGCTCTCGATCCGTCCCTCCGCTTCCGCTTCTTGTGATGTTTCCCTTTCCCACCCACGCGTTCATCTCGTCTCATCTTCACCTTGAACAACAGGCCGTTCCCAGTCAATAAGCATCACTAATGCAAACACCTCTTCTCATCACTACAACAGAACGAAAGCGATGACCCCAGAATTGGCTCTGGCCGCGATGGTTCATCCGGCGGCACCCTCTCCCATTCCTCCGACGACAACAAGGACCCAGCGTCATTGAGCGCCCTCGGCAGCACCTTTGTGCCCGTCCTCGTCTATGCGGCCATTTGTCTGCTCATCTTCTTCACGTTTCGGCGGATTAGTACAAGGACGTATGCGCCTAGAACTATTGCACAGTTGCGCGAACCAGAGTATGTCTCCCCATCAAACGTCAGTTGTGCCGAACATGTGCAACAACCCGTGCGACTCTGCAGATTGCAAAATGGTTGCACTGTACACCTGGAACTAGTAGTGGTGTTAGGGGCTAACGACGTCTTGTGTGATGCAGGCATCCAGCTCAGACGCTGCCAAATGGGTGGATCGACTGGGTTAAGCCATTTTGGAAGATTGACGACGATTATATCCTAAACAATTGCTCGTTGGATGGGTACTTGTTCCTTAGGTTTCTAAAGATCTTGTCGGTCATTTGCTTTGCCGGCTTGGCTATCTCGTGGCCGATCTTGCTGCCGATCAATGCGACCGGAGGGAATTTGCAGAGGCAGTTGGATAAGTTGACGATGGGCAATATCAAGCTGCCGAGCAAGTACTATGCACATGTGGTGGTCGCTTGGTTGTTTTTTGGTTAGTTGCTGTGGCCGTCCCTCTCTCGCTACCATGTGCTGTTGGGCTGTTGGCTTATGATTGTTCACAGGTTTTGTGCTATTTATGGTCTGCCGAGAATGCATCTATTACATCAACTTGCGCCAGGCATACCTGCTCTCGCCAAACATGAGCAACCGATTATCAGCTAGGACGGTGCTATTTACGTGCATCCCAAAGCCGTATCTGGACGAGGCGAAGCTACGAAAGCTGTTTGGCGACTCAGTGAAGAACATTTGGATCCCCAAGAACACCAACTACCTCCGCAGCCTAGTGGAGGACAGAGACGACGTGGCAGAACGGTTGGAAAAGGCGGAAATCGAACTCATCAAAAAGGCAAACACGGTTAGGATGAAAAACATCAGGGAAGGAAAGGGCGCGCCACCATTCGCAGGCGAACCTGCTACCGACGACCCCCAATCTTCAAAGACATCATCCTTCTCCTTGCACGAATCGCACGAATCGCACGAATCGACCCAAGATGGCGACCTAGAGAAAGGGACCAAACCCAATCCAGTCCGAATCCGCGAAAGACGAACCGAAGCGCCTCCCATCCCTGCTGACGAAAACGAAACCCCAGCCCTACCCGGTGAAGACCCCGGCGCCCCCAAAAAGTCCCAAGCCGATGACCTCGGTCCCGAGTACCAACATCCTTATGGCTACCCTGCTTCCCTCCCGGACGTCCGCGGCTCCGTAGCTGCCCTTTTTGTCCGCGCCAACGACCGCCCGCACCACCGACCTCTGCACAACTTCGGCCGGCGTGTTGACACCATCCGCTGGACACGAGCCCGTTTGAAGGTCCTCAACCGCGACATTTGGAAACTCCGCCGCAAGTTCCGCGCAGGAGACGGCCAACCTCTTTCCTCCGCCTTCGTCGAATTTGACTCCCAAGCCTCTGCCGAAGCCGCCTACCAGATTTTATCCCACCATCAACCGATGCACATGTCGCCGCGTTACATCGGCGTCCGACCCGAACAAGTCATCTGGTCTTCGCTCAGGATCCGCTGGTGGGAGCAAATCATGCGGCAGTTCCTTATGCTCGCCCTCGTCGTGGTCGCCATCATCTTCTGGTCCATCCCCTCCGCCGCCGTCGGTATCATCAGCAACATTGACTTTTTGTCTGCAAAAGTCCCCTTTCTGTTTTGGATCCCCTTGCTGCCCAAGGTCATTCTGGGCGTAATCAAGGGCTTGTTGCCCGCTGTGGCGCTGAGTATGTTAATGGCTATTGTCCCCGCCGGACTGAGAGTCTGCGCCAGGGTTGCCGGGTGTCCGTCCCACGCGCTGGTCGAACTGTATTGCCAGAGCGCGTACTTTGCTTTTCAGGTAATCCAAGTGTTTCTTGTAACGACCATTACGAGCGCGGCGTCGGCGGCAATCATAGATGTCATTAAGCAGCCATTGTCGGCGCCGGATTTGTTGGCGCAGAACTTGCCCAAGGCGAGCAACTTTTACTTGTCGTATATCTTGGTGCAGTGTCTGGGTGCGGGCGCAGGCAAATTGGCGAATATGAGTGATCTTCTGCGGCATTATGTGGCGACCAGTTTCATGGTTGATCCGAGGAAGGCATATCACAGGTGGAGGAAATTGACGCCAATTCATTGGGGGGCGGTGTATCCGCGGTTCACCAACATGGGGGTTATTGCCCTGGCGTATTCGTGCATCAGCCCGTTGATCCTGGTGTTTGCTGGGTTTGGGATGTTGTTCGTCAGCCTGGTTTACCGGTATAATCTCATATACATCCATGACGACTCGGAGCTGGACACGAAAGGACTGCTTTACCCCCGCGCGCTTCTCCATCTCATGGTCGGACTCTACATCGCCGAGATCTGCCTTATCGGCCTGTTTGCGCTCAAGAAAGCCTTTGGTCCTATGCTCCTCATGATCCTCTTCTTCGGCTTCTGCGCCATCACGCATTACTCCCTCAGCTCAGCTCTCTCTCCTCTCCTCGCCAGCTTACCTCAGACCCTCGCCCTAGAAAAACAGCACGGCCAAATCGCCGAAGACGGCGACGGCGACGGCGACGGCGACGACCACATCAACCCAGTATCCCAATCCACCTCCTCCGACCCTACATCTGCGCAGGGCGGCGGCGGTCTAGCAGCCGACTACTACAACGACACCTCCATGTCAACCCCAGGGGCAGACATCCCCGCCGAAGTCATCGGCGGTTCCGCAGCCGACTACTACGCCTCTAATTCCTTCGACTACTCTGACCCCTCCACCGACGACCCCGAGCCTCCTGGTCTCTACGACGACGACTTCGACTCCGACGGTCCCCAAAGCCAGCGCCTGCGCGGTCTAGAAGGGTCGTCCTCTATCCGCCACTCTCTCACCCAATTCGCCAAAACAACTTTAAGATCCCAACTATCGAACCTCAAAGCCTCCGCCAACGGCACGGGGCCTCCAGGCCGGCTATCACCATTTACCCGCTTCCTGTATCGCATCCACCGCTTCCTCACTCCCGACCCCACAATCCAAAACCCGAACTTGATTCAACGATGGCTCCACCCTTCAGTCTATGCCGATTTCCGGACACTTGCAAAGAAAGTGGGGAAGGGACCTGGTCCAGATGGATGGGAGTTGCCGAAGGGGTACGAGAATAGGAGGGGGTATTACCCGCCTGAGATGTGGAAGCCGGCGCCGCGGTTGTGGATACCTCGCGACAATGG